ATATATAAATTTTTTTTCATTATAATGAAAGTCACTCAATTTTATATTAATATGGCAGAAAAAAATTTCGGCATTAAAGTAAACATATTTCTCTCATATATATATATATATATATATATGAGATTAATATGGTGATATTTTTATCTCCTACGTACACGTATAAAAGTATGTAGGGCCATAAGAAGAGGATGGAGAAAAAAAATATAGATCTCACACACACACACTTTTACGTATGTGTAGAAATTCTTTTATTTCCTACACCATGAGAAATAATAATCCATATATATATATATATTATCCAGCATCCTAAAATTAAGAAATATTACATTAAATTTTATTATTATTTTGCTCGCATCAAATGACTTATATGTTTAATAAATTAAAACTGTTACATATAAATAAAATTAATGATTAAGATTGAATATCTTTATTTATACACATATTAAATGATCTTACCCATATGTCAATGTTGTATTGAAATTTGTGAAAACCTATCTAACACAAATTTGTTGTACCAGAAATTTCGGACAGGCGGGCAAATTTAACTTCACGTGAATTGAAATGGAATGGTGTCGGTGTCACCATGTACATATGCGCTTGTTGGGACTGGGACTGGGACAGCCACATTGACAAGTTTGAATCGGATATTGGATTTGAGAATGAAGGATGTGGTTTGCTTCTAATTAAATCAAATCACCCCATGCTTTTATCCGTTTCCTTTCTTATTTTTTTTTATTTAAAAATTGATAATCGGTACTTGAAGGAATGTTTTTTCTTTTTTGATATTTTTTTTGCTTAGTAGTTAATCTGTTATATTAGATTATTAAAATATCATTTAATGATTTCACGTGGCCGGTGTGGTTTCCCTCTTATTATTTAATGTAACCGCAGAAAATGTTACAAGCTGTTTTTGTGGAATTAATGTTATATATCCACCAAGGAAAAACATATATGTTAAGATGATAAATACATGTAGTAGTCGATAGTCATGAAATTTAAATTAATATATAGCAGCTCCGTTTCATATTGGTGGAACATGTGGCAGAACAAAATATATATATATATATATATATATATATATATATATATATATATATATATATATATATATATATGAGAGAGGTTAGTTTTAGATTAGTGTATATATATATATATATATGAGAGAGGTTAGTTTTAGATTAGTGTAAGAATAATAAGTCTTATACCACATCAAGGTTGTTGATGGACAAAAATTATCATTTGGTATTTGTAATGTAGTTAATGATTAATTAATATTAATTAATTCGTATGGCTTCCTAAATTATAACCGTTGGATATATACACCTGTCATTGTTGTACCCAAAGCGACTGTAGAAATAATTATATATATAACAGAAGTTGCTGTAATTCGCAGCTTGATGATATATCAAATTGGGTCTATTATATAGACCAAGATTTACAATTGGTTACATCAGGAAATCAGCTAAACTTAAGGAACAGAAAGCATAAATCAAGCTAATCTATTTACATCAGGAAATCAGCTAAACTTAAGGAACAGAAAGCATAAATCAAGCTAATCTATTTACATCAGGAAATCAGCTAAAACTAAGGAACAGAAAGCATAAATCAAGCTAATCTATTTTAATATACAAGGTAACAAACCGTGATAGTTACAATCAGGATCCTAACAAATTAATGCTACTCTAATAATATATATATATAGGGGCAGGATATTCTTACACCGATGTAAAAGTTAGAAGTCTTACACTCAATCTTGACCATTGATCCACTTGTATCCAATGACTCACATTACTAAAAAATTTGAGCCCTTAGGTATAAGTGAGAATAACGGACAAGATTAAGAATGTAACTTACACTGGTGTAAAATGATCCTGACCCATATATATATATAGATATATATATATATATATATATATATATATATATGTAAGATTCGTTGACACCAGTGTCAAATTTGAAATTTGACACCTCATCTGAGAGACCTTAAATAAATAAAGATCAATGGTGTCATATGCTTATAAATCAGAATCGTTGATCTTTTTTTATCTAACGGCTATCAGATGAGGTGTTAATTTAAAATTTGACACCGACATCAAAGAATCATACCTCATATATATATATATAAATAAAAAAAGTATAATATTTTAGAAAAGTTCTTAGGTTATGTTATAGAGATATAAATTGTGGGATCCATACTTTTTTTGTTTTTAAAACAAGTGTGGGTCCCATAATTTATATCTCTATAACATAACCTATGAACTTTCCTAAAATATTATACTTCTCTTTCCTAACATTTTTTTGAATTTTTGTGTGTAATTTTCTTCCAAAATACCATCAAAGAATATCATAAAAAAGTGATATTCTTGAAATCTTTGGTCTTAAGAAAATTTGATAATATTTTGGCATAGGAAATAACTTTTTGGTAACATTTCTAGAAAAATGACTTTTCCATCATATTCCTGAAAATTAAGATTTTCGGGTATACAAAGATTGATCATCTATCAAACACCCCTTGATGTTTCCATATCAAGCGATATTATTAATGAGTGTTCCATCACTTTAATGACCAAGTTTAGATGACAAACAGATGCTACTCAACTATGCGACACAATTAATTCTATAAATTATAAAATGACTTTTATTTTTTCATATTATATAAAAATTATTTTCAGATATTGTGGCTCAATTAGTAATGAATCCCGCACTTATTAAAAAAAAAAAATTTATACACAAATTGAAGAGTTACAACTTAAAAAAAACACTTATTATTTTCCCATTATAAAATCATATTTATTATACAATTTTATGAATACAACGTGAATCACTATATTATATAAGGTAGGATCCTTTGACACCGGTGTCAAATTTCAATTTTGACACCTCATCTTAGAACCGTTAGATCAAAAAAAATCAATGACTCTGATTTGCAAGCATGTGACACCATTGATCTTTTTTGATCTAATGGTTCTGAGATGAGGTGTCAAAATTGAAATTTGACACCGGTATCAAAGGATCCTACCTCATATTATATTATATATCGTCTATTTTACACCTTTAACCCAAATAAATTCATTAAATTGTCCCATTATAAAAACTTCAACTATGTCGAATTACATCTTAAGATTATAAATCAAAGTCACGAGGATCAATACCTAGGTCGTTTCCTAGATAACGAGAACGTCTCAATGGGAGCGCTATTTATAGTTTTATACTATCGAACCGTTGACAATTTATTACGGATTCCTAAAATTATTAATAACATGTCAGTATTTTAATAATATTATACATTACTTAACTAGGGACAGTATCTATTAGTTATTGGCTAGCCCTCCTCAATGCCGTTTTCCTTGATAGCGTGAACATCTTCGATAGCCGCACTATTTGTAATATTGAACCCGTGACAAAATATTATGGATTCCTATATATGCAAATATAAAATTGATAATAATATGTAAGTATTTTCATAATATTATACATTATTTAGTGAATAAGGTATCGTGCATCATCTGTTTAGCTTCAAAAGTATCTCCTGTATAGATACATGAGAGAGTCTATAGATTCAAGATAAATTTACTATTCTTTGACTAAATATTTCTATCAAGGATAGAAAATTGACATCCTTTGCGGGAAAGGAAAACTTCTACCCCCACAGCCCACATGGTGAACACAAGGAATAACAACCACCACTGTCGCCACCCGCCCACCAACACCAGACTGACCAACATCTCAATAGACCTGCTGTAACATACCGGTATTGTTAATATTGATTATGATATTAAGCGTATTACAATCACAAGAGTTCATTTAAAAATACAAGTAAACTCTTTTCTTTTCATTACAAATGCAATTTAAACCAAACATAATACGTAATGATACAAACTGTAATCGCAACTGGAAACTAAACGCGGAATTCATATAATACATGTCTAACTATCATATATTACTTATTTTAAGTTACTAAGAGGTTCCCATATACCTACTTAGCATAAAACTCACTTTTTCCACTTTTCTAAATCTGACTACGCTTCTATCTTTTTAATACTGGGCGTGATCCACACATTATTAATTTTCCATCTTTTAGTATATTAGACTAGACTCAATTACCTTTTCAACAAGGTATACACTCCTCATTTAGAGCTCTCTAGCTTCGGTTATAACCGTTTGAAGTTGGACAAACAAAGCTGTCAGCCAACTCTAAACAGAGCACCAAACCTCACTCACCATTTCTGCGATTCTGAACGATTCACTAAACCAATTGCTCTCAAATTTTTATACATAATACTAGACACATTGAGCTTTAATTTGGTGTATCATAAGCCTAACTACAAAATAAAATGAAAATCCTTTCACATCATTATATAATATTACTTATTCTTTCTTTTTTTTTGGTAATCTACATAATATTACTTTAATTTGGTCTTTATAGGTTTTCAAATTTCAACTCAAATAAATTGCATGGATGAGTTCGGTCTCCTGGTGCAATAACTTAATTATACTTGTTCTACACACATGTTTAGAGAAATATATACCAATGAAGCTTTATGCTTCATTTGAACCTTTTGGTTTCAAACAAAAGAATAGAACAACGCAATAAAAATAAACAAAATGCAGCTTTTGTTTTTGAAGTTCTTTCCATAAAAACAATTATTGGTATTATATACTTTCTCTTTCGTGCTCGGTGGGTCACCATTAAGTACAGAAAATGACTCAATTGAATTGGCACCATATTCACAACGAGGGTGGACCTTGTAATAGAACCTTTTCAAATTGGGCCTACATGGCAGTACCAGCTGCAAGCCTCGCCCTGAGGTCTTTCCGCAAAATCTTGCCTGAAGGTGCCTTTGGGATTGAGCCCACAAAGAAAACCCTACTGATTCTCTTGTAAAACACAACCTGCCACAAATATATAGAAAAAGGCTTTTATACTCTATACTTCTCAAGCAGAAATTTTTTTTTGCAACAACAATCAGTAGGACCTACTTATCCAATGTCTGTTGCACAGAAAAAGTGGTGCAGCACACTAGAAAAAAAAGACACCCATGGAAATATTCATAGCAATATCAAAACGGGTTTTATAATTCTCGTTCAATATCAGAATTGAACTCTTTCTATACACTCTTTGATTTTTGTGCTGATATGAGTCTTACACATAATTTTTTTTAACATATGAGTCACATATGCTTTTTGTCTCTACAACATAATAAGATTTCAATTCTCAAATTATAAAACCCTATCAAAATATAAATAAACAAAGCAGGGACAAAATTAAAGTAGAAATGTAGCAGACCACTTTATTAATTTTCCAAGTTATTCCTGCTTGAGGTCGTCTAACACTGCATGAATTTTCTAAATTTCTTAGCACACGTCACTTGCACACAAAGCTATGCATCTTGCTGCAAAGGCACACCGTAATGTAATCAAAAAAATTTCAAAAATAATTTTTCACATGTAATAATTTGAAAAACAAAATAACAAATTCATTGATTCTCAAAACAAAATTTATGTTTTAGCTCCTCAAAGGAATTCCCTAATTAACTTTTTTCCTTATATAAGGCTTTCAATGCCGGGTCACCTCATGAAATAGCCATACCTAAACTAGTTATACAATGCGCCTAACACGGCGATTCATAATTTAGAATAAAAAAATAAAACATAGCTCTTGCGTAGTTTATGTACTTTCCTCGTTTTAAATAACTTTAAACATTTGATAAATCCAAACCTTATAACTGCAAAACTTTCATAGGTGAGATTATATTATTAGGAGAAGATTATATTTACAAACTTTTTGTTTACAAACTACACTAAATAACATCTGTCATACTTCAATCAAGAGTATATGATCAGTCATACTTAGTGTAATTTATAAAAAAAAAAGATTGTAAACGGATCATTTCTCATATTATTATATCACTATATATGGTTCCTGCCCCAATATTTAATTTATTTTGGTTTAGATTTTGAAATGGAACCAAAAGAATATATAACCTGCTTTGAGATGTATTGCTTGATTTCATCCTCTGAGACTTTAGAACCGTTTGATCGTACAACAAATGCAACCGGAACCTCTCCGGCAACCTCATCTTTCATGCTGAAACCAATATCATCGTTAGAATCCATTAGAAAAGAAAAATAAATAAACAAATAAAAGGAGAGGATCAAAACAAACACTTATTAGCTATAGAACTTACGATACAACAGCAGCATCAGAAATGTTTGGGTGAGCAATCAGCATGGCTTCGAGCTCAGCTGGAGCTACTTGAAATCCTTTGTATTTGATCAACTCCTTTAACCGATCAACGATGAAAAGTTCATCATTATTATCGATATAACCAATATCACCCGTGTGCAACCATCCCCCTTTGTCTACAGTTCTTTCTGTGGCCTCTGGGTCGTTTAGGTAACCTACCCAAACATGGCACAACTAAGTATAAGTTATGCGTTTGCCGTAGTCCTAAAACTAGTTTTTATTGTTTTTTTTTTTTTTAAATCAAAGACCTAAAATCAGTTTAATTTTGCCAGAGAATGTCTTTGGTTTTTGGTAAAATATACAACACATGATGTTCTATGTCCCTCGGCTCACCGGTTATAAGTACTATTGGATGATAGTTAAATTTGATGACCTGCACTAGTTTAAGATGCTTAGGATGCGACATCACGAGATATAATATAAATAGAATAATTAAAGATAAATAGTTGAGTTATAGAACAATTTTTTATTATTAATTATTTAATTCTTAATTTACAAGACTAAAAATATGTGATATCCTCTTTTAATACACATAAATGTTAAATGAAATAATGAAAAAATTATTGTAATATTTTTTTTTATTACACACAATAGAGTTATAAAATTAAAAGGGTAATGGTTATTGGTATTTTTGCTTTTTATTTGGGGACAAAATTTTGTAGCCTCTTTGGTGGGCATAAAATGTTTTATGTTAATGCTTTCAGTTCAGTATTTATATTTTCAAAAATTAAATAAACTGTATTTTTTTATTTTGTACTGTCCCTTTTTTTTCACAAATCAAATGGATCTTTATACTTTATTTAGTAATTTAAAATTATATATTTGGAAAAGATTTTATATATCTGCATTATTACCCTAATTATTATTTTTCAAATATTGGCATTTAATTCATATTTTTTGGAAAGTTCTAATTCATATTTTTTTAGTAATTTAATTAATATTTTTTAAACATACAGGAAAACATATTTCAATAAAAATTGTTGTTTTCTAATGCTTAGTGAACATCTGAAATATATTTATTGGCTTCAGTCGCACGAAAGAGTAGTAGGAATGTGATTGATTTCAAGCTTATGTGTTTAGAAGTGGATTATAAATTTGCAATTTCTAGTTTTCTAAATTGACTTTCTTTGCCCAAACTTACCATACATATACACCTCAAAGAACTGTAGATTCAGACATATAATATCAATTATCAATGCAGATTTCATATATAATCTCTAAACTGAGGTATGATCAAATATCAAATAAATTTTTTTGGTTGTAAATATTATAAGGTATGGTTATTATTTCAATCTCCACGAAGAGATGAAAAAATAACAAGACAATTATGGAACTCACAAGGGATATATAGAGTAATAGAGGCAAGTCTACCTATGACAAACTATAAAAATAATAGCCCAAAAATCATTGGTCAAAGTGATAAGAAATTTATTTCTCTTATTATTCAAAAAAAGAAATTTATTTCTCTTAACCAAAATTCATAGTTCCGTGGAGAAAACAAAATTCTTATGCATGTTACTAGTAGTTTAAAACTATATATATCGGTTTACATAAAAAACACAATATCACGTGTCTTAATTTAATTCGAATATATATATATATATATAGGGGAAAGTTATATTTACAAATTTTTAGTTTATAAACTCTTAGAAACTACAATATGTACTTCCGGGAGAACACTAGGTTACATTATGTTATCCCGTGAGTACATAGTGTAATTTACAAAAATTTGTAATAAAAATTTGTACTTGCAAAATATTTTCACTGCAAAATATTTTTTTCAACCATACTCACGTAAAAATGAGTAAATCCTACTAATTTTTTTTTCTCTTATCATAATATAACTTACTCACTTTAACGCGATTATGAAAAAAAAATTGCAGCAAAAATAAAAATATTAAACCTTTAAATTAAATATATGACATAATTCTCAACTACGAGTAAGCAAGTTCACACAATGTCTATAACCTAAAATGGCTCCCTTATCTAGGGATGTGCATGGGTCGAATCAAACCAATTTTTTTGATAAACCGAATCGAATTGGTTTAAATGGTTCGGTTCAAAAGTGGTTTGATTCAAAAGTGGTTCGGTTTGGTTGGAAATGGTTCGGTTCAGTTCAGAACCGATTCGGGTCGATCCTATTTTGAAAAGAAAAAATAAGAAATTTAAAAAATAAAGTTATAAAAATCAATTTGGTTTGGTTCGAAAACAGTTTGGTTCGGTTCGGTTCATGAACTGGTTCTTTAAAAACCGATTCGGTTCATGAACTGATTTTTAAAAATCGATTATTTTAAGGGCGGTTCAGTTTGATTGGGTTCATGGTTTCGGTTCAGTTTTTTAGTTATTTTACACACCTCTGCCCCTACCTAATTGCAAAAAAAATAACAGAAAAAAGACTCACCTACTTGTAATAAAGAGCACTTTGTAATAAAAGTTTAGTGCGTGAGTAAACCAAATTGATGGAATAAAAGTTTAGTGCGTGAGTAAACCAAATTGATGGAATAAAAGTTTAACGTTAGCAAGTAATAAGACAATAGGTCATGGGAAACGCATGACAAAGACTTTGAATAGACTTAGATTAGGCATACAAAAGTCCACAGTGTCGTTCTCGCTTAACATATACTTTTTGCGACACTAATTTCCTGCTCCATTTTATACATTTCTTTGTGATCTACACTACAAGCAAAATCAAATTTTAAAACACTACTACCATTAGATATACAAGTGTTCTGCGAATTCATATTCAAACCTGTCTTAAACTATATATAAACTTCCAATATTTTATGCTTGTTTCTGCCTTTGTTTATAAGGTAAAAGATTTCTTCAGTCAATGAAGATAAATTTTCTCCATTTAACTCAAAACAATGTCATTTTATGGCAAAAATCAAGGTAATTTTGTAATTGTAATTTATTGCAGAATTATATTAGTCTTTATCATTATAATTTCTTAATCTTACAATTTTAAACGAAGTCGTTTTGGACTTACTGGAGATAACTTTGTCTCCAATGACTAGATACATACTTTTCCCTTATTTATAATATATTTTATGATATTTTCTACTAGTATTGGCTAATTATATCCGTTAAATTTGTAAATAAAAAAACTAAAGAAATATATTAGTGAAGTAACTTCCATGTTTGTAGGTTAACAATGGAGAAATAAAATTTTGCAATTCTGTAAAACTCTATGAGAAACTAAATTAAAAATGACAAGTACATAATATAAGATTTTATTTTTATTTATGCTGGAAAGAGACAAGAGTATACCTTTCATGATCTGGTTGCCTCTAATGCAAATCTCACCGGCTTGATTCCTCGGAAGCGAAGCGCCAGTCTCAGGGTCAACGATCTTCATCTCCGCATTTCTTACCACGGTCCCGCACGCACCTGATTTCACCTCCAATGGTTCCTTCGCAAACGCTAAGCACATTGCTAGCACTGGTCCTGCCTCTGTCATCCCGTAACCCTACACGTAGAGTTCAATCATTATTAAGTTATGTTACACCGACACCCACACCCGTAAAAAATATGATATGATACTTAGACACATTAATTCTAAAAGATTTAAATTTTGACACGGGAGAACACATTTTGATATTAAATAATATTTTTAATTTATATAGTGTATATTATATTTAATATCTAATAATTTAAAAAAAAATTGAAGCTAAATTTATAATATTCATCAATTTTGCAAAAAAGCATAAAATATCACAAATATTTATATTAAACTCAATAAAATAATATTCGTAAGCCAACAAATTTAATAGTTGAAACTAAAAACGTAACGCAACGTAACTTTTGAATTCTTTTTGTGACTTTCTGCAACACGCATTAAAAGTGAGTGTCTAAAAATATAGAAGTATTAACAAATTTTTTTGAAGTACTAGTGATCATAGTTGTTAACTACTCATTTCCTTCATAACCTTTGCCTTCCTTCATATCATCCTCATGCTTCTTCGTTTTCTCATTGTGAGGGCAGTTTCGTACTATTACTCGCCCATGTTTAATGCGGAATAGACTTTTCAGAAAAAACACGCCGAATTTATGGGTTTCTAATGCTATTCATAGTTCATAATCATATCATTATGAGTGGATTTATTTTTCTCTGTTGGTCTAGTTTAACCCCCCAAAAACCAGGAGCATGTCAAATCGTTTTGCGTTTCTGTTGAAAATTATTCTCCAATTCATTTAGCCCTATTTTTTTACTAGGATTCTAGGATAAAACTTGCATAAATTAACCTTAGTTGCTTATTTTTAACAAAAACATTATATAGTTTTGTTTTTAATAAAAGCTAAGACACGTTATAGGGATATATTACATTTATCATTTCTTTTCCTTGTCATCTCTTACAATTGTTTTGTTAAGTTTGAATCAAAATTAAATTTATGACTCTCATTTGATGTAATTTTATAACCATTTATTTGATTTTAATTAAATATTAATAACAAGATTGATTATTATAAAAAAGTGGTAAGAAAAAAAGGTGATAAGTATAATCTCCACTGATTTAATTAGACAGCAAAATTACGTACACTTGAAAGAACTTTAATTAAATTTTGGTTTTTATTAAGAAAACTGATTATTATTTGAAAGGAAGTGGGAAGAAAAAATATGCTGAATAGGAAAAAGAATCCATTAATTATACATTTTTGTACCAAATAGAAAGAAAACCAAAATATATATAGTGGCGGGCGAGGCAATTAAAGTCTCCTCGTGTTGTTGCAGGTATCGCAATATTAAATAAGATATAATATAAGAGGTAAATAATAACATGAGAAATCAAAATATATCCATATTCCCATATATATTAGGGGAAAAACTACTCTTATGTTGCGTAAGAGTAGTTTTATCTCCTACACACTCATCGAAAATCGTTACATTTATTTTTTTATTTTTCTTTTTTCTTTAAATGACGGGTCCCACCACATATGTGTCACAACATGAGAGAAAATCTCTCCTTCAACATAAGATTAAATGAACCCATATATTAGACAACTAGAAAATTAAAATGAGGGGCAGCATAATTAATGAATACGTAAGAGAAAGTATTTAATTAAATTAAATTAATTACCTGTCCGAGTGTAGCGTTGGGAAGCTTGGCCCTCACAGCATCCTCAAGTTCCTTTCCCATGGGTGCGGCACCAGACATAACCATCCGAATGGACGACAGGTCGTATCGGTCGATGTCAGGACTCTTGGCAATCGCCAAAACTATGGGAGGCACAAACGGCGCAATGGTGACCTTGTGTTTCTCAACCAACTCCAGCAGCGTAATGATCTCGAATTTCTGCATGATTAAAATCGAAGCTCCAACTCGAAGCCCACACAACAAAACAGAGTTAAGAGAATAAATGTGGAAAAGTGGCAGCACGCAAATAACCACATCCTCGCTGTTAAAATACAGATTAGGGTTCTCTCCGTCAACCTGTTGCGCCACGCTCGTAACTAACCCTTTGTGTGTTAGCATCACCCCCTTCGGAAGCCCCGTCGTCCCAGACGAATACGGCAGCGCGATGACGTCGTCTGGTGATATTTTCACGGCGGGGATTTCACCCTCGTCGGCCTCCGTCAACTCCGAGAAGTGCAAGTAACCTTCCGGCGGCGAGTCAATGCACACCACTTTGATTTCATTGTCTCTCGCGAAATCCTTAACTTTGTCGACGTAGGACGATTGTGTTATGATCAGCTTGGAGTTCGACGCCGTCGCCTGTTTTGCCACCTCCGCCGGAGTGTAGAACGGGTTGGCCGTGGTGACGACGGCGCCGAGGTACGAGGCTCCGAGGAATGCGAAGACGAATTGGGGGCAGTTCTGGAGGAGGAGGAGGATGACATCGCCTTGTTGGATGCCGAGCTTGTAGAGTCCGGCGGCGACTTTGCGGGCGGTGAGTTCAACGGCGGCGTAGTTGAATGTCTCGCCGGTGTTGCCGTTGATGAGGCAGGGACGGTGTTTGAATTGGGACAGGTTTTCGAAGCAGTAAGTGTGGAGTGGGAGGTGCGTTGGGATGTAAATGTCGGGGAGTTTGGAACGGAAAATGAACTCATCATGAACATCATGTGTAGGTTCCATTTTTTGTGTTTCTTTGGTTGTTGTTTGTTGGGGAAAGGTGTGGGTGGGGAGTGAAAGATGGATGGGTTGGAGAGGAAAAGAGGGTGGGGTTTTGTTAATGTATTCTGTGGGTTCTAGTTTTCTTGCGTGACGACACTTTTCCTGGTTTTGTTGTGGATTTGGTTCAGTTGGATATGCAATGTAGGTGAGGAGGGGTGAGTATTATAGTGCAGATGGTGGATAAAGAGTTCGTTGTCATTTTCTTCTTCATTAAGGGTAACCTTTGTCAAATAGACCAATTAGGATAGGCCTTTCCCTCATGTTCCAGTAATACATTGACATGTGTTTAGGATAGGTGAACGTGGCACTGTTGTAATGGGTCAACAAAAAGAAAGAAAAATGATATTTGGCTGGAAACAACCATGGCGTGCCACGTTGGACATTCACCAAAACACTTACAGTACAAGAGAAGCTTGTGTATTTTTTTGTATTAGAACTAGGGTATTACCGTGAGTTGCACGGAGAAAATAAGAAATTATTAAATAAATAATCTAAAAATATTATTCCCCACGCTACTTTAAAAATTTGTCCAATTCCAAATTGTCTTGTGGCTGGTAAGAATCTTTGCAATTTATTGTTAGAAGTGGACGACCCAAATCACCTATCACAACTGCTTTCGGTATATTAATCGCGTCATCCGACCCGTATCGTCTATTGCAGTTCACCGCTCACCATTTTATGCAGCTAATTAATTTAGCATAATGGGATTGGTATTCTTTTTAGTTTTATCCATAACAGGACAAATTTGATTTCATCAAAGATTGCAAGAAATGAATGCCCTACCAAATTCATGAAATCTACTATAGAAAAGATCAAAGGAAAGATCACAAATTTCATAAAATCAAAAATTTATTATAATTGTGGGTTACCAAAACATATTCAAAGAACAATGCACATGTATAAAGGACTACTTCATTATTAGGGATCCAATAATTTTTCAAATATCATTATTCAATACTTTTTATAGGCCTGTGAAGTGGAATTCAGGATAAAGACCACTTATCTATGCTTTGAATTGGATATTCATTTGGAGAATATTGAACCCTTTGCTTTGGATCAGCCAGCTAATGTCTATTTGTTGAAGTACTAACATACAATTTCATATTATTAATTCCATTTTAAAATATCAACAATTTAATTTTCTTGAATATACGAGTTAAAAAAATTATTAAATATTTTTTTTAAGAATAATTGTATCTAACAAATTCCCAAGCATCGGGTTTTTCTGAGTTTAGGATTGAATGTGAAAAGTCAATTTCAACAGGACCTTTAATATATATATATTTTTAGCTATTCAAGTTCACTGTTTTGTTTGTATAAACACGATTTCGATATGAATATGAATATCTTTTTTTTTTTTTTGGTAATCTGAATATGAATATCTTTAATCCAAATACAAAATAAATAATTATTCATGTCAAAATTCTTGACACTAACATGACTCATTTATTACACATGTTAACATGATAGACACGAATAATCCGTCAATTTTTTATTTTGAATGAAAATTACCTCAATTACCTCATATTAGTATATAAAAGTAGGGGTAAGTATACATAAATATATAATTGTTTAATTTAAACAGATCAACTAGGGTCAACACAAGTATGAATACCCCTAACATTAACACGACATGATTCTTTCTGTATTAGTTTTGGTTGACACGAACATGAATCCAGGTTAAAAATTATCATGCTCAAGAAATAATATAATATAAAGTAATAAAAAGTGCATTGATCACTTAACAAGTTAAATTTTTTGGTTGAATTGATTCTTTATATAATTTAAAACTTCTAGGATCCAATGGGTCTAAAGTTTGGTCATTACCATCCACGTTCTTTTAATAAAAGTAAAAAGAAAGTTGAATTTAATTAAGCTCAAGATAATCAAAAATAAATAAATAAATGGTCTTATGCATTTTCTATATATTATTCAAAAGCCGAAATTTTTTTTGGCATGAGAAGACATGTTAAGAAATATAATATAAAATAAGTATATGTCTCATCACATAATTAAATTTTTAAGTTGAATTAATTCTTTATATATGATATCATAGAAGTATGATCCAAGCATTTGGAGTTCATTTTTTGTTGCCTCCATTCTTTTAATAAAATGAAAAAAGTTTTGTTATAAAAAAAAAAAAAAAAAATGAAAAAAGTTTAATTTCCATATTTCAAACCTTAAAAAAGGCTCTTGATGTGATAGGCTAATAAATTGTCTACGAGTCAATTTTATAATGCTTCGAGAAATAATATAATATAAAATAAAAAAAAAATATTTTCAATCTACTTAAAAAAATTTAAATTTTTAGGTTGAGTTGATTTTTTTATCCTTATATCTATGTTTGTAATTTTAATAAGTACAAAAAGATTGAAAATCTAAAATTTTAAACGTCGTGCATTGTAATGTCCCACATCGGTTGGAGAGGGGAACAAAGCATGTCTTAAATAAGGGTGTGGATACCTTTCCTTGTAGGAGGCCTTTTGGGAGTAACCTGAAACGTAAAATCGTAAGCTCGACAGTGCTTGTGCGCGAGGCAAAGCGGACAATATCCTGCTACAGGGTTTGAGGCTGTTACATTTGGTATCAGTGCCTGGCCCTGGACCGGTGTGTACAGCGGGGACGCTGTATTCCCAGTGGGGAACATGTAATGTCCCACATCGGTTGGAGAGGGGAACGAAGCATGCCTTAAATAAGGGTGTGGATACCTTTTCTACTACAGGGTTTGGGGCTGTTACATGCATTAATTGAGCCAGTGCGTCATTATCATTCCAAATCGATATATGACTCCTTGAGACACCACACAGCAGTGCCATTTATTGGGACGCAATATGCAGTTGTAGTTTAATTAAAAGTTGCAACCGGGAGATGGCATGCTATTAGCGTGGAAATACATCCTCTAATGTTGAAACTTCGCATGATACATCACGTGAAATTTTTAACATAAACGAACAAAAAATGGCATGAAATTTGTTTACTTCTAGCTTACAAAGAATGGTATGGGAATATGCACGACGCGGTAGGTCAGATTGCAGGTTACGCTATTTTTTCTAATCGTTTCGGTCCTATTTCAACAAAGCGCGACACTGACATTTAGGTCCCTCTGGAAATTTTTAACTAAAAAGCCGGCTTTCTAATTGATTAGCTTGATTGATCTTGTTGACTTATGCTACACTGTCTACATGTATTAAATTTTCCAAGTGACAATTTTCACTATCTGCGAATAGAAGCTTTTAGTTTGAGCACGATTGGTTGCATGTAGAATTCATGATAGGGTTGGAGACCCATCGAGGATATCTACATCAAATGGATTAAGCACCTACATATTGGTTAGACATCACATCCTCATAAAAAAATCTTAAGCCATTAAATTTATATATCTTTTGGAAAAGTTCAAAAATACCTTCTTCTTTTTTTTGGTAATAATCAAAAATACCTCTTTACTATTACTTTAAATCACTTATATCCCTATATTTTTTTTAATCACTTAATCTCTTGTGGATTTTTTCATCTACATCCTTCTTTAACACTGTTAGAAAATTAACTAAGTATACATATTCTACCCTTCTTAGAACTTAGAAGAAGAAAATAAAGTGATAAAAAAGAAAAAAAATAAAACCAAATGTTATGAAAAATTAGAACACTTAATAAAATACTAAACGAAAAAAATAATAAAAAAAATCAAGTGTGTCAAATAAAAAAAGTATAGAAAAGAAAAATAGAATAAGAAAAAAATATAAGAAAAAGAAATCACAATTATGAATTTTCAATATATTTGCTTTTATTTTTTTTCTATTCTTTTTTTGTTCTTAGCCTATTTATTCTTTCTATTTAGATATGTTCGATCTATTTTATTATCTCTTTTTTATTTTATTTTTACAAAAAAATTTAGTATATGGGTTGACACAAGACTAAAAAACACCGAGAAGAAAATCAGAATAAGATAAACCAAAAAATAAAAAAAATAAAAAAAAGATCAAATATATCTAAATAAAAATGAATAAAATAGACCAAGGATAATTAAAAACGAAAAAAAATAAAACTAAATATATTGGAAACTTAAAAATGTGATTTCTTTTTTATCTTAAGTTTTTCTTATTGTTTTTTGTCTTCAGTATATATATTTTTTCATTTGGATTATTTTTTGTTTATTTGTTTTTTTTTTGTTACCGTTGTGATTTTTAATATATTTGATCTTTTTTATTTTTTATTTTTGGATAAACCGCAATATCCTTTATGGGAGGCTGTCTTGTTCGGGACGGGTTCAGGATTAAAGCTTTAACCATTCCTAGAAATATCGAACACATGCTCTCACCCTCACCTGCTCAGCTTCCATGTGCCAACTGATCGACCATCATTTGGTTTCTTCTTTTTTTGTGTTCTTATTCTATTTTTTTTATACATTTTTTTATTTTGACACATTTGATTTTTTTTTACTATTTTTTCTGTTAGTCTTTTTATTAAGTGTTCTAAATTTTGATAATATTTGGTTTTTTTATTTTTCTTTTTATCACTTTATTTTTTTCTTCTAAGAAGAGTAAAATTAGTATACATAGTAAATTTTCTAACAGTGTTAAGGAGGGGTATGAATAGAAAAAATCACATTGGATTAAGTGATTAAAAAAAAGCACAATGATGTAAGTGATTCAAAGTAATACCACATGTTTTTTTTTTACTTTTTCCTATATTTTTTAATCCATACAATTAACCCTTACTTTAATTATTCATTCATTTCCAATATAAGCCTTCAAGAGTGAGATATTGCACTTTTTTTCTTATAGAATTTATAATTTGGAGTTGGAAATATATTTCAAAATAGTTTTATGGGTTTGTTTTTTCTATAATCAATGTAGATAACTTATTTACATTGAGCTCAAAATGACGTCATTTTGAAGCAAAAATCAAGGTATTGTTATAATTATAATTTATTTCAGGATTATAATAGTCTTTTCCATTATAATTTTTTTATTTTTCAACCTAAAACGACATCGTTTTGAGAACAAATATAGATAACTTATCTATATTCACTGTCAAAAAGATTAAAGAAGCCTAGTTTTATATGTATTATTATTAACAAAATCGTGGATGACTCATTAAAGCACTGAACAATGACAACTTCTGTTTGTGTTATTAGACTTCTTGAATAAATAAAAGACTGATAGTCTATGTAGAGCTTACTATTGCAGATTTGGAGCATCTGACTATGGGTGTTTTGTTTTGTTGTACTTAAAATCAATTAAAAACCATGGGAGTTTGAAAGCTCCACAAATTTATTGGGGATGAAGTATGATCGGATGCCAATCATCAGACTTTTAATAGGCTAGCTATCGAATCAAACTCTGTCTCGGGCCGGGCTGGATAACTCTGGGGGAGAATAAAAAAAGTCAAATCTAAAACCAGATTAGTCATATCCCTTTAAATTTTAGACATTGGTTAATATTAAAAAAAAAATATATATTTCTGCAGTTAATATGCAGATAAGTTATCTGCATTTATTTCTAGAACGATGTCGTTTTGGTATTAAAATCTTAAAAAATTATAAATATAAAGACTATTATAACTTTGACATAAATTAAAATTACAAAAACATCATAATCCCGTCCTAAAACAACTTCGTATTGGACTTATTACAGATAACTTATATGCAGTAACTACAGAAAAAAACAAACACTTAAAAAAAATAGACAAAGTCTAAAAGAAGGATTCAGTTCTGATCCAATTTATCAATAAAACCAGGTCTCACTGATCCAAACAGCGCTGCTGGATGGGCCATATTTTCGGGCCTTCTGGTGGGTCCCGATCAACCCAAAAAAAGACGAACAAAATATCCACCACATACCAAACTAGAGGAAAAATTGTTGAGGGCCATTATGTTACTAAAGAAACGTGAAATATACTAAGAGGTTCTTTCCCTTTTTTATGCGGTTATTGAAGCAGTTTCTTCTTCTTCATTCTCTGTTGGATCTGGAAGCAGTTTAATTTTAGGGAAAAAAATATATATGCAAGAATAATCAAGGGTGGGAAAGTGATTAGCAGTATGGGTTCTCTTGGTCTAACCATCCTAGTTTACTAGGTCATCACGACTATTTATATTTTTTTCGGAAAATAAATGGATTTTTTTTCTCTAAAGCTTCTTTTTTCTTTTTTTTGGGTCAACATCATACCATAAACTATAAAGTCTAATTTCTAAACCTTGTAGTCGTGAAATTTCTTTGCCAGTCCATTTATATCGATGACCTAAATGGAATAATGTGGGCATCATGTAAGTCAACCAGCTTCGGCTACCAAAAAAAATGCCCAAACGAAAAAAAGTATATATTCAGACATGAAGGCCTACTTCCTCTAGTGATTGAATTTTGGCTATTTAGTCGTTTCATAGTTAATTTGCTCATGGTTGCTCTTTCGTTGCGGGCTTGCCACTCCTAAGCTATGTCAACTCGGATAAGATTAGACAGATGGAAATGAACAGAAATAGAATAGGAGCAATTATTATTATTTATTATATGATTTAAAATAAAGTAAAATTGGATGGAATTATTTCATCAAATATTATTTAATATTTTTACTCTTTTTCTCAACTTAAGGTTTTGAAATAAATTCAATTATTATTTATTCATTTATTGCTATTTTATTTATTTTTCAAATAATAAAATATTTTTTAAATTTTATTATAACTATTTATAGTGAAATAAATATTTATCCTTTTAAAAGACAGTAATTTTAATTAAAATAATTATTTTTATTTAATATTTAAATTAAAAAAAATCACACTTTCTCACATCATGATTCGTACGTATTATGTAACTTATACTCTCACCATAAAACACTATATATAATTTTGATTAAAATTACACAGTTTCATATCATTTAAAATAATAAACACTAATCCCATTTAATATAGCATAATTATTTTATTTTATTTCGTTCCATTCTATTTAATTATATCTTGGTATCTTACTCAATTTCTTTGGTCACGCTTGTCATTAATACGTAACTAAAGCATATGACAACGGTTTACAAAAAAAGAAAAGAAAAAAAACATATAACAACGAATGGGACAACCTAGTGCCGGCTACCATAAACAAAAACCGTGCGTGTCAAGTTGACAGATAAGCTTTTTACATTATGCTAATAAATTATCGATTTCGTGTTGACAATAATAATAATATTGATTACTGCATATTACTTCTCGTGTATATTATATTATTTTACATCATATTTCATGGATTACGTGCAGAATCTGAAAAACGTAAAACTAATAATATATATGTAAAAAGTGTGACGTGCACTAAGGTGTATAACTAAATTGTGCATTGTACAAAAATAAATAAATAAATTGTACATTATTTAATACAACAAATTAAGATCCTAGAGATAACTCCCATTGGAAATTGATTGTGGCAGCTGAGGCTGTTAGCGGGTCAATGAACAAGCAAGCTTAAAGAGAAGTAAGAAACAGTCAAATTTTTGACCATACTTAATTCAATATATGACCAAGTTTTCAAACTGTAACCGCGTCGTTGTTAACTCGGTAATCCATATCTGTACGAATTGTTCAGCACCACTTTCCTTCCCTATTAAGTTCCTAGTTTAACCCAACCCCGTCTTCCACTTCCTATAAATTAGTATTTTCATGCACTTGCTTCCTTCAACTACGATAATAACTATTTGCCCAATTGCACAACTCTCTTATAACATGACCGTGGACGAGCACGAGCACAAGAACAAGAACAAGCAAAAGCAGAACACATCTCTGTTAAGCCGCTTAAGGATGGTGGTGCGCAAGGTGAGGCTCCTATTAAGCTCCACCCTACTCAGCCACACGTGGCATGCTGCAACCGTACTCCGCCGAGCTTCTCCGACCAAACGCAACCTTAGTTTCAACGATCGACCCGGATTGATTCAATGTTCGGAGGAAACTGGTTCGGAGGGTTCGGTTTCTTCTCCTCCTGGCCTTCAGAGGACCATAAGCTGTCCTTCAGATGATGATATTGATAAAAGATCAGAGATTTTCATAGCTAACTTCAGAAAGCAGCTTCAGATGGAGAGGCAAATCTCCTTGCAGCTACGTTATCGCAGGGAGAATAGTTTTGAATTGGTCTCTCCACGATTATGTTGAGTTTGATTTTGGTTTCTTGAGTTTGAGGTTTACTTGATGATGGAGGACTTTGTGTTTTTTCGAAAAAGGATCTCTATTATGATCAAGTCAACGTGAAGTGATGGCTGGTTTTCTATGAAGGCTTTGCAATTTGCATCGATGGCCGAGAGAACATGTAAAAACAAATTCTGAATTTTTTATCTTTACTCGGGGTGATATATAAGAAGGCAAAATTCTTTTGTTAGTGTATGAAGTTTTGAAGTTTTGGGATTGTTTTAAATCTTCTGTAATAATTTGCCGCAATAAGAGGAGCCTGGGAACATCTGATGTTTTTGTTAGTTGTTCCTTCGCTCTCGTATATTTCAGTATTTGCTTCTTTCTTATTGTCCCTGTACAATATTATACCTTAAAATATTAAATTATGTTAATAGTTTTTGCTCTTCTTTCAAGTTCCGTATCTATGCACAAGCTGGGATATACCATGTTTATCCGTTGTCCAGGTAATTGAATGGCAGCCTGAACTTAAGTGTGTAACTAGCGCAGGTCACATGTTGCTAGCTATGACTATTCAAATAACATAGTTCAACTATCTAGGAAAAACTATTAATTTAGTATGTTAATTAGTAGTTCGAAGGATAAAATACTAATTCCAAATTATTCCGGACTAGCCTCCCTAGCTTTGTCTAATAAGTCGGCCCTCATTTGTTTTCTCAAAGTGAGATTTTTACATCCTCACAATAGAGGCTCCATTAAGCTACACATATAAGAGATATGTTTGGCTCATATGCATGCATTGCAGTGGGCCCACTGGGCAGAATAATTGTAATATTTCCCATTTATATATACCTCATCTTCGATCACTGAAGGGGCATCCTGCATGCATCCACCATTTTAGTCTGTTGAAATATTGTGTCGTGGTGTCTTTTTATCATCTCAAACTAGGAAAATTACTTGATTGTAATCGTGTATCAAATGTAGTTTATAAAAAAGAGCAACATATTGCCTGATTTTTCTCTGATTATGGATAAAAAAAAATTGACTCAATTATTATATCATCTCATGTCTATATTAAAAGATAGATTAGTTATATTTATAAATTTTTTTGTTTACAAACTATACTATCTTCTCTCGGAAGGAACACTAGTTATAGTATCTTCCCCGAGAGAAATAATGTAGTTTGTAAAATTTTATAAAAAAAACTTATAAACGAATCTTTCTGTACAAATTATTTATATTGTATACAGTTGAAAATACATTTTTTTTTTTCTTTCCAAATTACCCTGAAGTTCTTTTTTCCCCAAAATACCCTTCCCTCCCTGTTACACTTGGTTTTCTATTCTTCCCATATGGAACAGCAGCCGCCGCCTGAGCCGTCTTCGGTCTTCCACCTTGCACCATCAACAACGTCGACCACCGCCTAAGTCATCCGCCGACCGTCGATTCGATGGCAACAACACCGACGATCTGAGCTAGCGCTCCTTGTGCTCCCGTCGCCGACCAAGCACGTTGTCGCCAGCCAGAAGCACGGTTCCATCGCCGTCCGCTTCGATCTTTGCCTATCCTTTCCACCTTGATTTTGCGTCCCCGTCGTTGGTAAGCAATTGATCCTGGTGCGTCTGTTTGAAGTCCACCTGTGTCAAAGGGAAAACACAACAAATAATTAGAAGTCCTCCTCGTGTTCTAATATACTGTTTGAAATATAATCCTGTATACATTTCTTGATTAAAGGCAAAATAATTTAGCTTAATTATTGTATTATTTTCTATTTATATCAATTCTTATCATCATTAAGATAAGAAGAAAATTATCAGTGTGAACATAACTATAATGATTGAATCACTATAAATTCATGTGTTCTATTTTTTTATTTTTAATACTCTCTCAATCTTTGCATTAGATATTCATGGTATCTCCTCCATATAATTTTGGTCCACCACGCGTCTAAAATCACTGATATATTGAAATACCTCACCCTATCAAAGAAAAAAAGACCTAAACTCCTCACTTAATCATTCAAAAAAGAAGAAGCAAAAGTTAATATTGAATTCCTAATAAGATAAAAATTATTTCATATATACTAATAAAAATAATGTAAATATTACAAAACGTCTTTTTCAAATAGACAATTTAGTTTGTGTTCATTCATTTGTTAAAAATATGTATAGATTGTAATCTATAGTATTTCAAAAATAGGAAAGTAATGCAACTGTACATATATAGTAGGGATGTTCATCAATCGATTCAAACTGCGATGATTAAATTAAAAAAAAATCAAAAAAGAAAACCGCATATTTTAAGTCGGGATACAAGGAATTGTGCAATCATGGTACCTAGTGAAAAGTATATTTAGCCCAATATTATTTGAACTCGGCCAAGAATGAGATGTGAGATCAAAAGAATATGCCAAGGTCCAATTCTTATATATATTTATATATATGGAAAAAAATGTTTATCCTTTTAAATAACATAACTCATGTCATTTCATTCTCACAAAGAGCTTTTTTTTTTTGTCAACTTTCTCTCATACTTTATCTATCTCTTAAAATGACATAACTTTTCATCCTTTAAAATGACACACATTTATATATATATATATATATATATATATATATATATATATATATTATCCCGGCTATATATGCTCAAATTCAAAGAAAAACCCAACATGGAGCACCCCGATATTTTAGGTACCCAAACTACCGGGCTAAGGGGTAACACGGGTACCTCGGCCATAAAGGTTGAAAGGGGAAAACTTACTCAATACTCAGCTTACGAAACCCGATTGATCTTGAACACAATCAAGATATAATAACTGCAATGGTTGACACAATTAAGTCGGCCAAGGAGGAATTCAGTCCAAAGTAAAACTTTCAAAAAAAGGAAAGTAAACTTATCAACATGAAAACAATAGATATTACACTCCGGTAACTCGAACACTCCGACTATCGGGTTGGGGGCAACTGTTATGGACTTATATAAGACTCATATATGTGAAGGTCCAATAAAGGACAATAGAGAGGGATAATCATGTAAATTAGGAAAGAATCCTATTATTGATAACAATCCTATCATGACAACTACACAGTCAGATATTGAGCCCTTGGATGGATCATCAAAGGCCCACGACTTTATTGTCTACAAGTAAGAAGGCAAAGCCTACAAGTATGGATAAATCTCTCTCTTATATGATTATGTTGTCACTGTGCATACACACTACCCCTTTGGCAAACGTCGTTTATACCGTGTGCATTGATCTAACATCTTAGGGTATTCTAATTCATAAATACCTTGTAGAGAGTACCAGATCTTATATAAATTCTATCAATCTCTCATTGGACATCTGTCACAAAGGACAAAACAGATTTTAATATCATGTTATGATGTAAATTACGTGAATGATTTTATATTTGGTAATAATGCATAAATATTTTTATAAAGGACATGTGAGAGGCTAAGAAAACTTTGGAACTAAGAGGAGCTGATGTGGGATCTGATTGAGTGCTATCTTGAACGCTGTTTTATAGAGCAGTATTGTTATCTGCTTGTGTTGGCCAATTTGAATGTGTTTCTAAAACCTTCGGTTCTTACTTATTTTGGAAAACCTTGACCTGCTTACCTTATTCCTTTTACATTGGGTTGTTCTAAATTTGTTAGAACAATGAAAGTACTTGGAGTCGTCAAAATAGAACAATCCCCTGGTCTAGTGTATCAATAAGCGGTTGTAAAGCAAACGTGTTATGCACTTCGATTCTAAAAAGAACCTGCCAAGCGGCTAATCAGTCACACGGTTCTTCCTGTCTTGATTGATCACCCGGGGTAACGGATTAATTCCCAACCTTATAAAAAGAATATCGTTTATTAAGGAAGAAAAAGTGGACTTTCATGAATTTCATGGTAAGTTAGCACGAGGGGAACCAGACTGAAAGTGAAAGCTGGTGCCGACAGAAAAATCATGTCTTCTAGGATCGAAGTTTTAGTTATATTTGAACTAAGCACGTTAAAGAATTATTTCCCAGACCAAATGGTAGTAGCTCAGTTGGCGCATGGGAGCTAAGCAGGTGGGAGTGAGAGCATGTGTTCGAATCTCTCCAGTATCACCTTTGGAAGGGGTTTAAAGCCTTAACCCGCCCCGAATCTGATTAGTTGCGAAGCAATGAACCGATTAGAATATTTCCAAAAAAAGTATCCAAAAAAAAAAAAATTATTTCCCGGTCAATGGCGTTACTTGCTTCATAGTCAAGTATGGCGTGAATGATGTTCAAGCCACCCTTGTTCATGCAAATATGCCTAATTACGAGAAGTTGACCAAACCACTTTACACTAAAACCAAGCAAGCGAGACTAAACATATGGATGCAGCCAACATTTAGGCTCAACTACACCATCTCAGTAGTTCCTTTCTCACGCCAGTGTCCAATTAACATATTAATAATTAATGAATGAAGTTGCTCGATACTAGGCACATATTAAGGACATATTTATTGAAAGACCAAAAAGTCCCTAGTCTTGTAGCCGTCCTCTGCATCTTTTTCCTATATCTCATTTAAGTTACTTAAAGAGCTAATCAAATTATCATTTTATTAAATAGAAAAAAAAAAGTGTATGAATTTGTATTGCTAAACAATTACTTTACAGGATGATGCTTTATAATGGAAAGAGTTTATTGCCAATCACACTCCTCTAAAAAGAGGAAAAGTCAAAAGGGTGTGGGAAATCCTAGTAGCACGAAAATGAACACTAATTTATGTACCCAAAAAAAAAAAATGAACACTAATGCGTTGCCCCTAAGAAACTTGGAAATTTATTAGTGTCATCACTCAGATTGCCAAACCTCCCTGCAGTGTTTACACATTCCTTTTCCCAGAAAAAACTCCAGCTTTTGCGAAGCTTCAACACAATGGTGATGAAGTCCCCAAAGCCAAACAGGGGACATTTCGTGCTCTCTTGTTTCATCTTCATCTTCTTCCTCTGCGTATTGGCTTCCATAAACGAAGTTCGATTCGAGGGGTTACTAAGGTTCGGTCGATGTGCTCTCTCAAACAACTCTCTAGCCGCAAACTCTTCCTTCTCCAAAGAAGAAGACACTAGAATTCTCATCGCCGTTCTCACACTCCCCGACCAATACCTACGACGGCACTTCCTCCGCCTCGTCTACGGCACACAAACCCCTGAGGATGCAAAAGTTGATGTTAAGTTCGTGTTCTGCAACCTTACAAAAGAGGACCAGAAGGTAATGGTGGCGTTGGAGATCATGCGTTACAACGACATCATCATCCTCAATTGCACAGAGAACATGAACAAGGGGAAGACCTCAACGTTCTTCAGGAGCTTGCCTGAGATTTTCAACGAAACCAACGGACCTTACCCTCCTTACCATTACGTGATGAAAGCAGATGATGACACGTACGTGAGGCTGAACAGTTTGGTAAAGTCGCTGAAGCCGTTGCCAAGGGAAGATTTGTATTATGGATTCGTGATACCATGTGGGAGCATGGACCCCTTTAAGCATTACATGTCTGGGATGGGGGTTTTGGTATCTTGGGACATAGTAGAGTGGATCCATGGTTCTGATATTCCTAAGAAACACGTGGAGGGTCCAGAGGATAAGGTGTTTGGAGATTGGATGCGATGGGGTCGCAAAGGAAAAAATAGGTACAATGCTAAGTGGTCTATGTACAATTATCCTGATCCAGTCTCGGTATGTAGCCACGAGCTTTGGCCTGACACTATTGCGGTTCATTTGTTGAAGAATCAAGAGAAGTGGATTCGGACTCTCAAGTATTTCAACCACACTGATCCTTTGAAGCCATCCAAGTTGTATCATATACCTTAGCTGTTAGGTGATCCTAATCTTTGCTTTTCACCATTTTGTTTATTTCATTTTATTTTTTTAATATATGATGATGATAATAATAATACGACATCAGATTTCATTTTGGGGTCTTAATATATAAGCTGTTGTTGTCTTCTGTTGAGGGAGAGTAGAAAAAGGGAGCAGTTAACTTGCATGGTGCGATTTAGTACCCAATTTGTAATTTTTGATATGCAATTGAAACGTACTTGGTTTATAGTTGTTGTAGAAAAACAGGGATATATTAATGGGAATTTGAACAAACCTTAGAGAAGTAAAAGGAAATCAAGTCAAATTGGGAAACAAGAGTAAGTGATGAAGGCAGAGGAAAGAAAACAAGAAGTCAAGTCAGGGCAACATTCACTAGGGAAATCCCATCATATAGCATCCCATAAGAATAGAGATTTGCGGGCACTTTCTTCCTAAATAGACAAAATGACATGTTAAGGATTTGTTCATTTTGTTGTGTTCGCTTGTTCGGCATTCAGAATTCTCCTGAATCTCCTACTCTTCTTGTTATTGGGTTCTGCTCTGCTATTTTCAGCAGAACTTAATATGAAATTGGGTGAACTCTTTCTGAGGCCCAGTTTGAGTGGATCGGATGTACGGTGCAGTCCAAACACGAACAAAACCCAATTGGGATCAAGCAGTGCAATAATAACAGTGTTTGGTCCCCCATGTGGTTAGGTGTTAATTAATAGGGAAATCATTTTCTCATGCGATAGGAGATAGTTTTCTTATGTTGTGAGACATCGAAACCTGTGTAATTCTTTTTGTTTTTTTGTTTTTTTTAACAAGTGGTGGCCCCACCACTTGTTGTGTCTATGGCATGAGAGATGCAACCTCATGTGACATGAGAAAAGAGAAACCCTAATTAATATTATGAACCAACTCAGTACAACTGGTCAGATTAGCCTTCTTTTTCAGTAAAAAATTGTACTTGAAATTGAAAATATAATCTCGCTCTACAGGAGGGTTAGACTGCAAAAATTTAAACAATATCATTTTTAAAAAATATATATATGTGTGTGGAAAAAATATTTTTACAGTCATTTTAGATAAGATTATCTACAGCTATCCCAAAAACTACGTCGTTTTGATTAACGAAGGATATTTCTGTAATTTTAAGTGAATTAATGAAGGATGTTTCAATAAAATGTATATGATAAAAAAAAAATACAGAAATACCCTTCATTAATTCACCTAAAATTAAAGAAACGCCATTTATTAATCAAAATGACGTAGTTTTTTGGTAACTGTAAATAACCTTATTTAAAATGTAAATAACCTTATTTAAAATGACTGTATACATATTTACCTCTGTATATATAGGCCATGGAGTCTTTTCTTCATTTTCATTGATTTAATGTATGTATTATTTATTTGCATTATAAAGCTTTTTTACGCATTTGAATACAAGATTAATCTTTATACTAACTAGTGAAAGTCTTTACACATCACGCACAAACTTGAATATTGCTCAAAGTCATGGCTAGCGAGTTCGATATAATATTAAATAAAATAATATAAAAATAATGTAGATCCTCTCTTATTTTTAATATCAGGATGAAAATATTCAATTTGTATCATATTAGAAGAATCAGTATAATTAATTATAGACCCATTAATTATCTTTTAAAAATCTCTGTATTTCTTAAAAACCAACACAAAGAAGATGAGTGACCAAACTGGGCAGCAATGAGACGAGAGACACCTCAACCTCAACGAAGCAAGTGGCATTAAGAGCATGTTTGGTGTATAGTATAGGTTAAAGTCTGATAGTATAAAAATTAATTAAATTTTAATATTATCCAACGTTTAACATGGTATTGTATAAGATAATATCTTCCAATATTTTAAAAATTAATATATTAAAAAAATTATTTTAATATATTAATATTGAAATAATATATTAGTTCTTGAGAATTGTACTTGTAAGTGTTGCGAAATCGGCAAGTATACCGTTCGTTTCAAGTAATGAAGTGATAAATAAGATATCGTTCCCTCGAGGATTAATGCACCACTTACTAATTTAACTATTCCCTTTAAGTTGAAAGAAAAATTCAATTTGATTGTGAAAAATATTTGTGATCGTAACTTAAAAATAGAAATTTAAAAACAATAATAATTAAAAGCATGCAAGAATTAAGAACGTCTAGAAAATATGAGAGTGATTAGAAATTATAAAAAAGTTGCAGTCATGATGCACTTCATCTCTGATCCTCCTTTATGTTCCTAAATTGAATTTTATAACTAACTAGTTTATAAGTTCAGACAATTCATTATTTTCTTATTAAATAGTTGAACCCTAATGTCTTAGTGATTTCAACCATTTAATCCAATTAGAATTCTAGTGTCCTATTAATTCCTCTTGAATTAAACATTAAGCAAATAAATTAAAAGTTAGCAATCTATGTAAGTCTATGTTTAGGTCATACACGGATTGTTATTCTATCATTGTCTGAATTAAAATCCTAATATGTCAATTGTGAGCTCTAACCCTCAAAATCCTATAATAGAGCGATCAATTTTATCAAAGATATGGAATAATTAACACAGTCAGAATAAAACTAACTAAACTAATTAATTATAAATTGTGTATGTGATCCCAACTACAAAAATAAATTAGCCAGACATATCCGGCTTTAACAAATTAAAATAATAAAAAGAATTCATAAAAGCAATAAAGAAGAAAAAGAAGATGAAAAATCAATGTTCTTCAGTCTTCAACTTCGTCGGAATCCTAATCTCCAGCGTGAGTCTCCAAGAATTCTCTCAATTCTCTATTTTCACAATTCTCTCCAGCCAAAGATTGTTTTCCCAAGGGTGCCTGGTCTCTTTTTATAGACTTCGTTCCCTTGTTTTGAAATCTTGATTATATATGCTTTTTATGATCTCCGCAGATATCTTATGATGTAAGATTAAAAATTGTCACGTGCTTCCCGCGCTACTAGCGCCAGGTTGGCGCTGATAGCGTGGGAGTATTGTCTTGAGGCAGTAGCTTCGCGCAACTAGGGTGAATCTCGTGCTGATAGCGTGAATGACAAAAAATGTTGGCGCTGCTAGCGCCAGTGCCACGCTAGTAGCGTGGTGGCACTGTGTTGGAAAGTGAGGTTGGCGCTGATAGCGCCAGTGCCGCGCTAGTAGCGCGGTGGCTTCAGACTTAAAATCATATCTATGCTGTAAGCAATATTAATACATCAATCCCTTATCAGGCCTAATCTATCCCCTTAGGCCTGATTAAGTTATACATCATTTTGATGTATTAAGAGATTATACTGTATAAGCTTATACTATACGATGGTCACTTCAAACAACAGAAAAAGTCATAACGTATAGTATAAGCTTATACTATTAAGCCTTATAGATCGCACCACTTCCAATGTCTTTTTCATTCCCCCACATTCTTCTCTTTCTTCCTAGCCTCGCACGTGACGACGTCGTTGCGCACCAGTACTTGTTGGTTTCGCATCCGTGAAGGTTTGGTGAGTTCGCACTCTACCCTTGTTACCTGTTCGACAGAAATCCCCAATTGCGTGTGACTTTTTTTGTTTTTTAATTTCAGGAAAACCTTGGTCATGTTCTGAAGAGTTTCAGTGAAGAGAGACCCTTGCGAATATTCAAGCTGGTTCATTTTTATTTTTTTTATTTTTTGCAACTCTTTTGTCATTTTTCAATTAGTCTTGGAAATGTGTTTTGATGAACTTGATATGAATGTTTCAGAGGGGTTCGCTATTGTTTGTGAAGCTGCAAGAAGAAAACTGGGAATGTGCCATTTTGATGTATATATATATATATATATATATATATATATATTTGTTTTATGTTTGTTTACTTCGGACTCAGCAAAATGGGAATGCACCATTTTTTATATATGTTTAGGTTCCCTGAATGATTCCTTTCATGAAGTTGCTTATAAGTTTACAATTTTGCGTACAACAATGTTATGATACCATTATGTTTCGTGAGTATTTTCTGGCAAGTTGAATACCAATACACAAGATTTATATGAAATAACAAAAAAACTTAATCTTAGTCGATGATTCAACTTTCCAACAAGAGAAATGGTGCATCAACATTGTTTCTCGAATAAGACCATTTAGAAATTTTATTTAGTAGTCATGAACTTCTTTTAAAAAATATTGAAGGTTTTTATTTCTATAGAAATTATTTTATTTTTTTGGAGATAATAAATTTTTATAAAAATTAATATTATATGATATATTTGGAAGAACTATATAAATTCTTTATTAAGGGGTATTTTTGTCAAAAATATTTATTTTTATCCTATATAGTATTATATAGTGAATTACCAAACACTTGACAGTATTAATTTATACAATACGTTATCTTATATAAAATTATGTCAAAGCTGGATAGTATTAGAATTTAATCAGGTCTTATACAATGAGATCTTATACTATCTGACTTTATACTATCAAGCCTTATCCTATACGTCACACCAAACGTTCCCTCAGATCTTATACTATCAGCCTATCAGACTGACTTTATTTTAGACTGTGCGCCAAACATGGCCAAAAGGACATGAAAGGCATTTTACTTTAAAGTAGTGTCAATCAAGTAATTCTGTCTTGGCTGTGACCTAACCTAGCCCTCACCGACCAATGAGATTCATAGTTTTGATATATTATTTTAAACAAAAATGGTTATTCGCCCGTGAGTAGGTCTAGGTGTGAATTGGCCACGTCATCATTGGAGTTAAAGAGTTAAGACGCGGGCCTTTGCTTTTTCTCACGCTGCCTCCACACACTGTGCTGTCAGCTACGCGAGAGAGTAAGGCGTTCCAACTCCTTCGTTTGCGGCGGCGGCGGCTGCGTTTTCTCCCCGCCTCAATCATTTCATCTTCATATTCTCTGTAAGATCTCTGTCTCTATCTCTCTCTCTATCTCTCTCTTTTCTATTCACGCAATTTGATGGTGGAACTAGAAGCGATCACTCCTTTTACCACTTTTAAGATTATACCCTTTATTTTTTCCGTCTTTTCTTTGCTAGCATTGATATATTGTTATTGGGCTTCTGATTAAGGTTATTAGTCTTCAAAAGAGGCATTTTTTCCCATTTGGGTATTTCGTCGAGCATCTGGCTCATACGAAATATATAGATGTGATGTGCATTAGTATGATAGTAGTTGAGAAGCTGTTGCACTTTGTTAGAAGAGGGTTGAGGGGAATCGTGTATCTTGTTCGATTCAAATTCACAACTCCAACCGAAGTGCAACAGTAGCCGTGTGTCAAGTTCCTCTGAACCTCAGTTAACCATTTACGGTGATGTAAATGGCCAAGATTACTTTTCAAATTCACCATATCAATTGATCCAGCTTTGTGTGCATTAAGTTAGTGAGATTGAATCATAAAGGAACATAAATCATTTTCCTGATGGGTTGAATATTAAGTAGAATTCTTATGCGTTAATGTGACCTATAAATTTCGCAGGCTTCAACTTTGTTTGTTGTGCTCATGAGTCACCAGGTGTTGCTCAAGAGCGTACTTCATCTTTTGCTGGATCAATTTACTGATTATGGGTTATACCTGTATGGGCATAAATGCAGTACATGCATAAAAGCTCATAGTCCCACCACTCTTCAGTGCCATTGAGTATGGTCTTGCTTGCTGGATGATTTTATTACTAATCTTATAGAAAATATCACATTTGCATGAATGCTCCCAAAATATTTTGATCTTTGTTATTTTCCTTTGTTTTTGTCCTGTTTTATACTTATCAGTTTTTTTTCTCCAAATTGAAAATTAAAACAAAAAATAATAATTGTGATTTCACAGGGTTTGCTACATTTCATTCTGAATCAATATGGCCAATGGTCCAGCGCCATTTTCTGAGATTGGCAAAAGGGCTAGAGGTAAACCTGCATTTGAAATCATAATATATTCTTTTTTATATCATTGCCCAAAGTTGCTTTCCATATGTAGTTGAACACGTCCATGGTTACCAATTGTTATACATACATAAACAACATCCCATTGCCGGTTTCTGAATGCAAATTGGTTCCCTCATCAACACATTGGTCTATGTATTACAGTTCATCACCCATTCACCCCTCACTTACATATGCATCATATATGTAGTATTATATGGTGAACATCCATAAAAAAAAAATTCTGGTATCGGTGTGCTCTAGTTCAAAAAAATAAAAAATAAACCACTCCCCGTTTAAACCCGACTAGCGAGAGTGGGGTGGAGGCAATCCTTGTACGCGACCTTACCCCTGCATAATTGTAAAGAGGCTGTTTCCTGAATTCAAACCTATGACCTTTCAGTCATGAAAGAACAGCTTTACCACTGCTCTAGTTCAATAATATAATTTTTCAAAACTTTCTGTTCTACTGCATGACTAATTCTCTTTACCACTGCCTGCTTTTACTGTACTTATCGATTGAGATTTCTCACCTAATCCAGATATCTTGAACAAGTTCAATAGGCATTCTCAAATTACATATTTGTCGACTTTATCGATGCATCACTTGCATAGGACAACAGGTCTCTGAGAGCATGGTCTTTTGTATGAAAACTATGTTAGCTAACAAATTGTCTCTAAAATTTTCCTTCTTTCGAACACCCTTTCTGATAGTTAGAAGTCATCTATGGCTGAATATTTAGATTATTGATTTCTTTATATCTCATATCAAGCCACATCTAAATTTTGTAACTATACTCGGGTCATTAAATTGTGAATATTCTGGTTCTTATGCAGACCTCTTGTACAAGGATTACAATTTTGATCAAAAGTTTAGCCTGTCAATTCCAAGCTCAACTGGATTGGTAATGCTTATCCCACTTTGTGCGGTTATCTTTTTTTAATTAGTATTAATAGTTTAGTGTTCAGTATCTCATTGCAGTTGATACTTAGTAGATATTAAATCATTTTTGCTTGAATATGCTATGGTTCTAAGCACCCACACACAGAGAACAGGAACACACATATACTGGACATCATATAATTTAACCTGATATGCAAGATATTGACTGATCATGCATTTTTTTATATTCTCCTTTACCATCAAGAAATGCTAACAATGATTCTTTACAAAATCTGGAAGACAGTAATGTAAATCTCTAAATAACTAATTGTGTGTTCTGACATCATTTGGCTCTCATATAAACCTTCCCCTCCCTCCTTGCGGAATTGTACTGCCAAATATAATGCTACTTGAGAGGATGAATGTTGTTTTTTTCTTCCTTGAGTAAGTTGGTTTTACAAATTTGGCTACTCATATTTTTCAATTCATGGGTTGTTTACACATGCTCATGGGTATGAGCTCGGAAGAGGACGGATAGTCATGGCAATTGGAAAGTTGCATCAATGTTGTTTTTTGTCTAATGTAGTGTAAAATGAGCACAACCTTTAGCCTGTCCTTCTGTTTAATGTGCGTGATTTCAAATTTGACTTTCCATTTGGCAGGGCCTCGTAGCTACAGGGTTGAAGAGGGATCAAATTTTTATTGGTGACATAAATACGCTTTACAAGAGTGGAAATACTACAGTGGATGTGAAAGTTGATACATACTCTAATGTAAGAAATCAATGTCTTCTTTTAATCAAATTTCTTTTGAATATAGATTGTGTTGCTACTACTGCTACTCTTGATCCGTTGACGAGTGATTTTTACGAAAGTTCAAACTTTCTAAAACTGGTTAATTTATGTATGTTTATGTAAACTGAAATCGGTGATTAGTATGATGCTTGATTGAAAATTTTATCATCTCTCAAGTACAGTGATATTTTCTCGGATTCTCTTCAGGTATCTACAAAAGTGACTGTGAATGATGTCTTCCGTAGTACAAAAGCAGCTTTGAGCTTCAATATACCTGATCACAAGTCAGGAAAGGCGAGTATGATCTAGCTTTCCCAATGTGTAAAGATGTTAATGCGTGCTTCATAAGACTGAATTTAAGGAATGCAGTGTTTTTATTTGCTCCTGAAAATACTATGAATGTTACCTTTAATTCTCTATCTTTGAGGATTTCATAAATATCACGATGCATTATAGCCTAACCCATACTAGCAAAGGAATTGATAATAAAAGTTTTCAGCTGAATAACTTTAGTCACCAAAAGGGATTGCATTCTTAATTTATGCTGAAAATCATGTGGTTGGCATATCATTGATGATAGTTGATTCACTTGATTGAGATGGGTAACTAGCATATAATCAGAATTGACAAATTGATAAGCTAATGCACTAAATCATTAAGTTACCCATGATTGGCAAATCATTAAGTTTAAAAGAAATGCAATTTTTTTTTTCCCTTGTGCGTGTGGGGAGTTGCGGCAGAGAGATTGTCTCTTTTATTATGGTAACATTTATCAGTAATGATTTAGAATGGTAACAAGGATAAAATGTTTTAAATTTTGATAATAACGTAGTAAATCCCGTAAACAGCCTCTCCAGTCATAGGATTGTGGCTGCTTATATTTGACAGTTTGGCGCTTCCGAACCCCACAGGGGTGGGAGTCACCTGCACTGGGCCATCCTTTTTTTATGCTTAGTAACATGTAAGCACTGAATTTACTTGAGCATTCTTACAATGTATCTGACTATGCGATATTACCTCAGCTGGATGTGCAATACCTTCATCCTCATGCAGCCATTGATTCTAGTATTGGTTTGAATCCATCCCCTCAATTGGAGCTTTCAGCTGCGATTGGCAGCAAAGATATTTGTCTGGGTGCTGAAGTTGGATTTAATACAACTTCTGCTTCATTCACAAAATATAATGCTGGAATCGCCTTCAATAATCCAGAGTTCTCTGCAGCACTTATGCTGTAAGTGTTGTTGGCACCATAATTTCCTGATTCAGTATTATATCCTAGTATCTTATTATTTTATGCTTCAATAACCTGTGTTTTTGAATGTTTTCAAATAGTATCTGAGAGGTCCTATCAGATAGGCTAGACAAAATTGTGAATTTTATATACATGGCTAGAACTATTAGTTTGATTCTCATACGTTATATTTTTTGAAAGCATGATTTGTTAATTGGAATATTTTATTTATTTTTAAAAAAATGCAAAGGCAAGTTATCCCTGAATTCTGAAGCCTTAAAAGTCGTTGTGGTCAACTACAGCTCTTTATGTATAAGATTTGAACTGAACTAATTGGAGTGGACTGGATTCGATGGTATGTAATGGGTTCTATTTCTAAAATTTTGAATTTTATTTAAATTTGTTACAACCAGCATTGATTGAAGAAAATAAATCCCGTGAAAATTATGTGTATTAAAACTCACAAATATAACTTCTGCCTCTTTATATTTGTAGACAAGCAATATTATAACGAGGTGGAAAATTTAATGGTTATGATTTATGGGGAGAGGATAGCTGGCAGCTAACACCTTATGTGTGTGTGTGTGTGAGAGAGAGAAGTGGATTTAATGATTTGTTTAAAGCATGAGTATTTGCGAAATGACTATTTCTGTGTTATGGTTTCCTTTTTCTTACAATTTGTGAAGATTTGTCTTTGTCTACGAAAGTTGCAGAATTCAAAAAATGTGTTTATCTGCTTTGATGGGGTATATCCTTCCATATAACAATACAATGGACTCAATGTTTATGCAGGGCTGATAGAGGACAGTCCCTGAAGGCCTCTTACATTCATTATGTGGATCGTCCGGATGGATTTACAGTTGCTGCTGAAATCACTCATAGGTTTTCCTCTTTTGAGAACAGATTTACCATTGGGAGCTCACAGTCAATAGATCCAAACACAGTTTTAAAGACTCGATTCAGTGATGATGGCAAAGCTGCCTTCCAATGTCAACGAGCGTGGAGGCCAAATTCTCTTATAACCTTGTCCGCTGAATATGACTCTTCGAAGATCTTTAGTTCATCCACCAAGCTCGGTCTTGCTCTTGCTCTCAAGCCTTAACGGCGGTCTGCCAAATTAATCTTATTTGGTCGGTGACTTTACCCTTCCATCATTTTACATTGTTTCCAAAGTCCATGGTGGGTTATTTTAAGCCCTGTCATATCATAAGGTAAACCAAAGGAATTAGTTATATTTGTGAAATCTTCTAAAGCGGCGAGGGGAAAGAGGACCCAGTTTTGAAATACTTACATAATGGCTAGAGTTTTTGTAGCTGATTTATAATACTTCCATTCAATATCTAGCATGTGATTTTGGGGCCAAATTCGATTATTGGATATAGTGACTCATGGTCAGGTGGATTGTGGAAGCCTGAGGTCTAATTTCATCATTTTCACTTAATATATTGTCATATGGCTCAACCGTGGGTCTAATTTTATCGTTCTATTTCTCCAGCTGGTCGTCTACACTCGGGAGGGAATAAAACATGACAAGACTGTTCAGAGAACTTTTTTTTAATATATCCTGGGCAGCTAAGGATATGGATTTTAGTAATTATATTTATTTTTGACGTTGACCGAATAAATGCACAATATTTATGGGGGAAATGGATTTGATAGTGAAAATTTAAGAAAAATAAATAAGAGAAAATGACACGAAGACATAATTAAATATAAAGTATTTAATTAATATTTTTCTATATTAGGATTGAAGGTTTGTTTATATTAGATTGTATCCTGTATCCAATAACGCCGGGGTTCATACAAGTGAAAATCTTGCTTCGCTTTAATTTTAAATGGGAAACTGTGATAATGCAATTTGTGATTCTTTAGAGTCGTAAATTGTTATTTTTTCAATGTTTGCTCAGTATTTCGTTAGATTATTATTTAATTATGATTACATTATATATTTAACTAATAAAAATGATTAAATAATGACTTTGAAGTATTGTTAATATGTTTTCGGTATGATTTTTAAAACATTAGTTTTTGGGAAAAACTACTCTTATGCAACATAAGAGTAGTTTTATCTCCTACACACTCATCGAAAATCGTGACACTTCTTTTTTTTCTTTTTCTTTTTTCTTTAAATGACGGACCCCACCATATGTATCTCTACAACATGAGAGAAGATCTCTCATGTAACATAAGATTAAATGAACCCTTAGTTTTTATCAGGCGTCAAATAATAATAACTATTAGTAAATTCGAATTTAAAAAAGGCCGAAGATCTTAGGAAAAAAAAACCTGGCAATTTCGATAATTAATCTAGGGTTGTATTGGATTGAGATTTTAAAAGGTTTTAACGGATTATTTTTAAACAAAAAAATTCATTGGTATTCAATTAGGATTTCAAAGGACTGGAAAAAAGTCACATAGTATTCGATCAGGATTTTAAAAGATTATTTTAGAGTCTGTCCAAATCCGTTGGTATTTAATTAGGATTCTAAACAAAGGAAACACAATATTGTGGTATTCAAAAATATGATGATTTTAATGAATTTTCTATTGGTGTGGATTTCGTGAGACTTTTTAATGAAAAATATAAATAAGATGACTCTCTCACAATCTCATCCCTAATCTCTAGGATTTCATGAGATTTCTCTATTAAGTGTCTTCTTCATTTGGAGGGTTGACCCGCTCAAAATCGGATTTCGCCATGGGAGCTCTGTCAAAGCTGAAAAACAACATATTTTCATCATAAAACAACCTAGAAACCACAACCCAACAAGATTTTAATCTAATCCATTTCAAAAACAGAAGATTTTTGAGCGATTTTTGATAGTTTTAATAGTTTAAAAAATTATTTTTCAAGCTATTGGTTACGATTTTTCTTGGTTTCAAAATGTCTGATTTTTGTATTAAAAATAACATAAGACAGTGAAAAAATAACAGAGGAACAAAAATCTCAAACCAATTTTTGTTTTACATCAATTAAACAAGATCGACTTAAAGAAAGATTAAAACTTTCATAATATGACCCTTATGTTTCATAACAATACATTTATGAACGAAATTCCTTCGCTATAGGAAACGATTTCAAACTATTTTTGTGTCAATAGATCTCCAAAATCTTATTTTTCAAAAGCCACAAAATAATTTAAGGTTTCAATTTATCGTTAGAAAAATAATTTGATAGATTTTCTAAACTTTCATGTTATAAAACCCAAAAATTCAGATTCGATATTTTCTCAGAATACTCAATTAAAACATGAATATGATATATTATTAGAAAACTCTCATCATGTAGAACAAAAACCCCAAAGTTTACAAGATCAATTGCAAAAAATTCCAAACGATATTTTATCATGAATTTGACTGATTGAGAAAATTATATTAGGTTTTATTTTTTTTTTATTAATATCATTGCATTTTTTTGTTTTTTTAATGGCTCTTGTAGTTTTTTTTTTTTTTTTTTTTGTAAATATGGCTCTTGTAGTTTTGAACGTTTGTTAAAAATTCATATGATTTTTTAGAATCTTATAAATTCAAATTGTCCTTTCAAATCTTATAAATTCTATTAAAATTTAATCTTATGAAATATTGATTTTAAAAAAGTTCTTTTAATTTTTTTTTAAAATCTCTTCAATTCTAAATAGTCTTTTTAAATCTAAAAGATTTTTTTATCTCAACAAAAAAATCTTTTAAAATATTAATTCAATACATCCCTAAATCAAAAAACAAGCTCACAAACATTATGCCTTCAAAAGAAAAATAATATTTGCAACAATTTTTTTCTCAAAACATACATGAGATTAGGGGTGGCAATACAGGTTTTGACCTGCGAGTTGACCCGTGACATGACCCGACAAAACGCGTGTCGTTTCAACTCATGGATTGTGTAAATGTGACTCGTTTTTTTCGTGTCGGGTCATGTGTCAACCTGCAGGTTCGCGTGTCAACCCACACAGTGTCATTTTTTTAATTTTCAATTAAATATTTATTATATTATTATTTTTATTCATTTATATATTGTTTAGTAAAGAAAAGAATAGAAGGAACTAAAAATCTCAAAAAACATAAGCTAATCTATTTTTATTTTTATTTTATTGTTTTTAATTTATTTATTTTTCAAAAAATCTCACTTTTTTTTTAAATTTTAAATTTTGCGGATCGTGTCGTGTCGACCGTGACCCGCAGCGGGTCGTGTCAGGGTTCGTGTTTTGCGACCCGTTTACAAAACGGATCGTGTCAGAGTCGTGTCAAATAGTGTACAAGTCGAAAACGTGTTCTGTCAGATTTACCTCTATTGCTACTCCTACGTGAGAGATACAAAAGGGTAATTATTTTTTGCGTTTATGATAATAAATTTTTATCATCGATTTTTTATTATTATTATCTATTCATCTTGACGCGCAGGTGCAAGCAAATGTGCAATTACATTCTCGAAAACTGAAAAAGAAAGGAAAGAAAAAGGGGAGGAGCTGAACTAACGGAGAGGGAAGGCATAAAGCAATTGGGGTTGCTGGTTGCTGCTGCTGTTGTTGTTGAGCGTGTGAGAGGTGAGTGAGTTCTGGTTGTGAAAATGTCACACAGCGATACCATACCCCTTCACGCATCTTCCCAATCGGACATCGACGAGATCGAGAACCTCATCAACATAAGTGTTCAATCTGTTCCGGCCACCGTTCCACCCGCCAGACCCCCCAGTCCCCCACGCGCCTCCATCCCAGTCTCCGTCTCCTCTTCTCCCTTCGTCCCTTCCAATCTCCCTCCTCCTCCCAAATCCTCCTCCATTCAGAAACCCACTTCCAATATCCCTCCTCCTCCCCCGCCCCGACCCGATATCTCTTCCTCCGGGTTCGGACCCGCCCCCAACACCCTCACTGAGCCCGTATGGGACACCGTCAAGAGAGATCTCTCCAGAATTGTCAGCAATCTCAAGCTTGTTGTGTTTCCCAACCCTTACCGTGAAGATCCCGGTAAGGCTCTCAGAGATTGGGATCTTTGGGGACCCTTCTTCTTCATCGTCTTTCTCGGTCTTACCCTCTCTTGGTCTGCATCCGTCAAGAAGGTACTTACCTTTTTCGATCTCACTTTGTTAATTCTTTCATTGTTGAATGGATCTTGTCTTTCCCATCATCACATGTCAGAATTTCGTTGGATTTCATTGTAAATATATATATATATATATCTCTGGTGTAAACAGATAATGATGAGAATGTATGTACTTTATTGCTGGTTTTGATTCATCATGGTTACTTCTTCACTATACCTTCCAGAATTAGATTGTGATTCATCCCTTTCGAAATTAAGTAGGTGTTTCCGGTACAGTGTTTTTGGGTTTGGGTAATCTTCATTGTTAAATCTTATAAAAATTTACTTATAAGGTAAGGGGCTCTATGTGTTTTCTATACCATAGGGGGGATTGGAGGGATCACTCGCTAAACAACTGATGTGGAGCACCATGTGTCCATGTCTATTCAAGAGTTTCGACTCTGTTAATTATCCTCATTTTTATCTTATTTCATATTAAATTGAATTTCTTGCTTGTATTCTGATAAGAACCTTGAGATGCACCACCCCAAAAGTTAGCTCAAAGGGTGGGAGTGTCCAATGCCTTATAAACCCCATATTAGTTGCCCATATAACAAATGTGGGACTCCAAGTCTCATACCTTGCAAATGGGTCCTAACAAATTCTCTTCATTTTGTGGTTTGGCATTTGGTTCTTACACATGTTGTCAACACTTATTATATATTGATTATCTCTCTGTGTGGGTGCGCATGATAGCCATAGGGATTGGAACATATCAAATTTTAAAATAAAGAAGTAAAAACTTCATTACCTTTGTTTTATTTTTTTTTATTGTCTGCATATGTATCCATTTTAGTTTAGATTGCATTTGTTTGACAGAAATATAACATTGACCATATTCTTTTATGGGGAAGGATATTTTCACTTCAGTGTAAGAATAAGAAGTCTTACTCCCTATTTCAGCCGTTGATCTCCTTGTATCTGACGGCCCTAATTTATTAGGTATTAGTTATTAAATAATGGGTATAATTTAATAAATTACAATCGTCAGATATATGGAGATCAACGACTGAGATGAGAAGTAAGACTTTTTCAAAAAAAAACCTCCCTTTCTTTTACATATTTTAGATTTTTTTTCCTAATGATTTTCGAGACTTTTATCTGTAATTCTGGAAGATATATTGTATTATTTGCAAAGCTTTGTCTCCCTTTGAATTGCTTCAGGTTTGAAAACTTATTTGACCTATGCATTTTGCCATCTCTTGCAAAGAAATAATTGTGATCTCATGTCATTATATGGAAGTGCATGTCATTTCTTTTCTACATTGGCATAAAAAATGAACCGCAACTACCCAGAGCGAAGGTTGTCTTTTGAAATTTCCTGAAGAGCTGAAGTATTCATAGTTTTGAAGCTTTGGTTGATGGGATTTCCCATGAGCAAGTAGTATACAAAAGCTTTGGTAGATACCACTTTTGTTGACTTGGTGCTGCTATTTTTATTTTTATTTGTTGGAACTTCCCCTTCAGTTCTTTGAAGTTTATAAATCAGTGGCTGGGAGAGATGCAAGAAAGAGCTGGTGATTTATATAAAAGTCTGAATTATGAATAGACTTGCCATTACCGAAGGGCGTCCAACTCTTAGGGTAGTATGAGTTCGTTATTATGGCGGAGCACTGCAAGATACTGGTGGTTTGAATTACAAAGCTGCATCTATCAACAGAATCTTTTTCTTCTGTTATACGAAGATATTATATATAGATTTCTTTTCCTTTTATCCTTTTTGGGGCTTTCTGAAGTTAAATTTCAGTTGGGAATCTGAGTTTATTGAGGGTGACATAATGATTGGTCCATGTAGCCAATAGCTTTAAATAATTTCACCTAGTTTTACTCCTATATTTCCGTTCTACTAATCATTTAGAGACCGCTGTAAAACTTCACTTATGTTGAATTTCAGTTAACCTTGTATCAGGTGTTCAAATTTCTTAGTTCACTCCTTTCGTACTATGTTCTAATTTTTGTAGCTCTCTACTCTTTTTTTTGCTGAATTGTAATTTGCTTATGTTTTATAATTACAAAGTGAATTTGGCCAGTTTTAGTCATATCCCTTCTAATCTTTTTTCCTGATTGTGTCTCAGTCAGAGGTTTTTGCTGTTGCATTTGCTTTACTTGCTGCTGGCGCTGTAATTTTGACATTGAATGTACTGCTTCTGGTAATAGCCTCTTTCTCTCTTTTATCTAGTCATATTTTGAGTGTCCACTTTAATTTTTTCAGTATCATATTTCTGTGTAATGTTGAAGTATAGTCAAATATCTATTTTCATTTGTAAAAAACGGAAGATTTAATTTTACCTGGATGTTGCCTAATTGAGAGAGAAAAAGAGCTGGGGACCTAACCATTCTTGAAAGTAAACGTTGACCATTCTTGAAAGTAAACGTTGACGATTGAGGGCAAATATTTGACTTTGTCTTCATCTCTTCAAAATTTCAGGGTGGACACATTATTTTCTTTCAGAGTCTGAGTCTGCTGGGTTATTGCTTGTTCCCTCTGGACGTTGGTGCATTAATTTGTATGTTGAAGGACAATGTCATACTGAAAGTGGTTGTGGTATGTGTGACATTGGCTTGGAGCTCTTGGGCCGCCTACCCTTTCATGAGTTCTGCTGTCAACCCTAGGAGAAAAGCTCTTGCACTCTACCCAGTTTTTCTCATGTATGTATCTGTTGGTTTTCTCATCATTGCCATTGACTAAATGCGTTGGCGCTTCCGATTACTTTATCCCATAACCACTTGGAATCTGCTTCTACATAGGAATTTTTGTTTAATGATCGAGCTTTATTATTCTTTTTTGCCCTTATTTTGTTCCTGCCCCTTTTTTTTCTGTTTTATATTTTGGCTAGATATATTTGGACGTGAACAGTTGTATAATATTACGTGGAAGGTATATGATGGGATCAAACTTGCTACAGCCATCTCGTTTAAGTTTTCTTTTCCCTTACTATTATTTAATATGCGAATGTGAATACTGATAGGATTGATGGACCCAGAGGAGGAGAGGAGGGAATTAAAAAAAATAGATTAGTTTATTTTTTTGGCGACATGCTCACAACTTTGCAGAATAATGTTTACTCAAACGCTTATAAACACATCAATTCACACGCACGTAGTTTTCATCTTTGTAATTGAACTGGACTCGCCTCATTTTCGGTGCCTTTATACTTGGATTCTCTCGCATTTAGAGATGGGATAGATGTGAGCCATTAATGAATATATGAAGCAGTTTCCAACTTTGAGTGAACTGATTACTTCGGTGGGGTTTCAATTTAATTTCTGTTTCCCCAGCGAAATATTTTTGTAGCATTGCTGCAAATTCTCTAATAACGTTTCCAAACTCTGCAAGCGACCAAGCTCTGCGCTGAAGTTTATATTGAATTTAAATGTTGCTCAACAGTTAAAGAACTCTCTTGGTCCCTTAATAAACTCGGCAAGTGGCAAATGCGATTATATTGTATTCTAGTAAATGGGAGGAGTAAGGATTAGGCTGAGAGTTTGAGTACAGTCCAAAACTGTGGGTGATGCTTTCTATTGTCCACTACTTTTATAGGAAGTGCCCAAGTTTTGTGAACAGTGACACCTTGCAAAACTAAAGAGTCATTGGTGGGATTAAAAAAAATGATTAGTGTTCTTCTATGTTTGTTTATTAGAATGAATGACAGCATCCTCCACCAATACTACATTTGATAAATTTTGATCTTTATCCACACTGCTCCTCGGATGCAGCTCTTTTCTGTTATTAAAATAATCGTGTAATTAATATTACTCTGTTAACAATGACTTGGCGACTCGCATTTCCAATCTAAATAGATGAGTTTCTTGATTAGGTCAATCATTATTAGGCTTCTTGTTTTGCCGACGCAGTCTGAGCCAATAATTTGTTACAGGGTTCGCGTTGCTTCTTTCTTGACCTAGCATTTGTTGTTTAAAATGAAAACCCCTTTGTAATGCATTTCATTAGTCACATCCAATCCGACAATAATCATATACATGTTGGAATCTCGTAACCGAAAAAGCTCAGAAAAGCTTCAATAATTAGGATTAGTAGGTTTACGATGGAGACATTAGGGCATTCATTGTTTCCCTATATATAGATTGGTGGCGGCGTTTGTGTAGACTAGTTGCCCCTTCGTCAATAGTTGCTACTTTTTACTCATTTCGCTTTTGATTATAACTTTGAGAAGAGCGAGGGAGACCAAATCATTGTATAGCTATATATATCCAGCAAATTTCCTTACCGTGAAGCTTTCATCTTTGTCGTATATAATTATGAACAAATTTAAGAGATGCTGGTGGGTAAATGCTTGCACACTTTAGTTTTCGATGGACGTCAATGAGGTACGGACCCCGCGTGATTTCTCTCCTCACCAACTAGCCTGTATGCGATGCTAGGGATCAAATCACATCAATATAATCCCTTGTTTAGGGTCCCCCATCAAGGAAGAGTGATCATTTTGTCACTGTTGGCCAAAAAAATTATCGGACTGTCACGTTAACAGTAAATTTTGTCAAAATGTCACGTGACATATTTTGTTACACTGTGTAGTGAAATATGTGTGCAAATAATTCGCTACACAGTATAGCGAAATATGTCATGTCAGAACCAAAAATGCCACATGTCAAAATTGTAAAAATTCGCTATACTATGTAGCTAATTTCTTCAATTTTGACACATGGTATTTTTTGTTCTGAGCAGTCTGACGTGACATATTTCGCTACACTGTGTAGTGAATTATTTGCACACATATTTCGCTACACAGTGTAGCAAAATATGTCACGTGACATTTTGACAAAATTTACTGTTTGCGTGACATTCTGATAATTTTTTTGGCCAACAGTGACACTTTGGTCACTGTTCCGCCCATCAATTCGTCTGTTATACATATATAATATAAAAATTATTGGAAGGCCCGTTACTTGTAATTTTGTTCTTAGATGAGATAATTATTTATTATAATATCATAATCTCCACTTTTCAGTAAAATTAAATTATGGAATCAAAATGTCTATAAAAAAAAAAATATGGAATCAAAAAAATGGGCATGTATAATATTTATATTTTCAAGTCCAAAGGCTCTTATAAGTTATATGAAAGAATATGCTAAAGTGATATAATCATATAAATATAAAATTATTGAAGAATCATTCACCTTGAAATTTTGGTTTGAAATGGTTGTTTATACTGTGTTTATTCTTCTCCGTTGATAGTTGTTACAACTTACAATTTCAAGTCTCATATACGTGCATAGGGTCTTGGACAGAAATTGAACACGGCATAAATCAATTTCCACGATAATCCATAATAGCCTCCCATCGTAGTTGGTATGTAGGGCCAAATAATCAATCAAAGAGATATCGTAGTTGGCTTGTTTTATAGATTCTTCTTACGGTATCATCATTTCAATTGCTTAAACTAGCTAAGTAGCAATACACATTTCGATAAGACCGAATTTCAACGGATATTAATGGGAAGGAAAACAAGTTAGGTCGCTTTGAATCATAAAAAGACTGAGAGAGACGTATAGTTATCATAATGGATTGCGTAGTTCAACCTTCGGGACATCGACCATTGTGTCACAATTTTAAAAACTAATTTCCAATATACCAAGAGGGTTAAATATTTTCTCAAAATGTCACCGTGGCAAACTCACTGTTAGTGGTAACGGGTTTTGAGTGATCAGATCAGTCAATATTTTGATGCATATGCATGTCGAATATGTGGCAGAATGTGAGAAATTGGAAAAAAAAAATTAAAATAATGTAATTAATTAAAATAATTACGCATTTAATGCTTTTTTGTTAAAAATTACACATCTGTTGCACAATGAGACGCCCTCTTTGGGTGTCACATGTGACGCCGGGCGTCTCATGTGCAACCTATATACACCCCACTTTCCTTTTTTCACTCCTTACTCATTTACCTCTCTAACCTCTCTCCAACCTCTCTCTAACCGCGGTTCGTAGCGAAGCTCTGCCAACGTAGGTAAGGTCATAATACCTCATATGTATACTTTTAAATTACAGTGCTAGTTAGTAATACATGTTAGGATTGATTGTATATTAGACACTTGGAACATTAGGATAGTCACTTAGAAATTTTGTGTCATGCTATGAATGTTGTAATGATATAGTAATATTATTATTACGTAGTTATTATTATTACCGATTTTTAATTATGTATTAGGGTTTAGCATATTAATCAGTGATTTATAAATAGTGTTAGAGACTTTGTAAATTTGGTATGTATGATGTTATTAATGCGGGAGTGCATAACTTTGTAGTTAGTTGAGGATAATGCCTGAGTCATCATCTTCTTCGGGATCTGATTCGGATGTAGAGCCCACCGATCCCAGCATGTGGATCATACATGGGCCGTACAGGTGGGAGGTCCTTCGTAAGAGGACGCAGAAAGGTCATATTTCACAGCGAGTGTGGAATACTGAGCATGTAAGAAATATTAAGACTAGGCGTGGGAAGCCACAAGGGGGCCACCTACCGGTGCTATTCCACAGGTTGTGGAAGAGTACCTCAAACAGGCGGGTTTCATACATGTTGCCAAGATGCAACATATCCAGGTATGTTATTTATGTCGTTTTGTATTTATGTAATTATTTAATAAAATTCGTTAACACGTGATAACTGCGTAATTTATCACAGATGGACACATTTTTACTTAGTGCTCTGGTCGAGATGTGGAGACCAGAGACACATACCTTTCACATGACCCAAGGTGAGATGACGATCACCTTACAAGATGTGGCAGGCATCTTGGGCTTGCCGACCGACGGTATTGTCGTCATCGGATCGACCTCTGAGGATTGGCACGCTGCTTGTGCTGCTGTTTTTGGACATGTTCCAGAGGCCGGTGAGTTCCATCATTCCGGCGACCTCCGCATCTCATTCTTGGATCGGCATTATACCCAGTGGACTGATCATGAGGGGAATCATGCTGCCGAGATCTACTTCACAAAAGCCCACATTGCCCGGATGTTGGGGACTTGGTTGCTGGCGGACAAATCTGGAGGTAGCAATTTTGGTTGCCGGCTTGTCCCGTTGCTAGGTGGAGGATTTGAGGACATTAGCCAATTCAGCTGGAGATCTGCAGTTTTGACACACTTGTTCAGGAATTTGTGTGAAGTGACAGATGCCCGTCGAAGCGACATGGGTGGTTGCCATATTCTCCTTCAAATTTGGGCATGGATACGATTCCCACCCATTGCTCCACCCCTTCCTCCTCATCCAGAGCCGGGCACACATTATGGATGCCGGTATGATTTATGTACTTCATTTGATTTCGATAATGTATGGTTAATAATGTATATACTAACTGTATACTTCTTGATTATGATTGATAATGTATGGTTGATAATGTTTCTGATTGACAGGTTTAATGTTGTACAAAAGTTTAAACCTCATGAGGTCACCCATTATCGGGCAACATTGGACACACTCTGTAGAGATGAGGTTTGGTGTTGGATACTTACGATGTTGTTATTTGTCTATGGGTTTTTTTTTTTGTAACTCTATATATTGTTTCACATTTTGTTTGTAGGTGGTGTGGCAGCCATATATAGAATATGAGTGGCGCGACGTGACTCCAGAGCAGCAGTATCTGTGGCTTGCTGCCACACCTATTATCTACTTCCACACAGTAGAGGCATGTCAACCGGATAGGTGCATGCGACAGTTCGGTCTTGATCAACCCATCCCCGAAAAATCTAGAAAATTGAGAGGAATATATGATCATACTCTACGGGGGAAGGTTGAAGAGAACTGGAGACGTAAGCTGAGGGCTCACATTGATCGATGGAATACCAGGATTCAACATATTGTGCTGCCATCTCCATTATATGGTTTGATGTCACCTAATCATGCGTACATAGAGTGGTATAGAGAGAGGGGGAAACGCTACATATCTCGGAGGGCAGCAAAGATAGGGCACATGGTGAGTTTTGTACTTATTTTACATTTGATTCACATTTCTAACATTTTTTCGTAATATACAGATTGACGGTATTGAAATGCTTTATCATGTAACAACAACGGAGGAGTTTCCTCGCTTTGGACTACAGTATATCCACGAGGAGATAGGCCAGATTATTGGGATGTTTCGTGAGAGTTCAAGAGTTGATGAGCCTGGACCTGAGGCATCCCCCGTGCAGACACAGCCTGATCCTCAGTTGATCGTGGTTGTTCCTCGTAATAGACGGGAGGGACGCGGATTAGGACGTAGACGTGAGAGAGTTGTTGCTGAGCCTGTCCCGTTATGGCACCTAGACCAGTGGTCCAGACTCAGGGATGGTTCAGACCTCCAGTCATTGGTCCTACTTACGGGTCACAACCGATTTATCATCACGGATCGCAGTATGCAGCAGGTCCTATTCAGGCGGCATCTGAGCACCCTTACATGAGCGGGCAGGAGCCATTTGCGCGACGACTGGTTGATGGAATATTGGGATTTCAGACGCACCCATCTCATGAGATTCATCTCCTTCTGACGCACTAGCATCCTCCGCCAGAAGATGTTCTTCCATTGCCATATATTCATCGTCGTCATCGTCATCTTCGTCGTGCATTTCCCAAGTCGGGTCATTTTCATCTCCCTCATAAAAGTTACCAACTGGAGACGCATGAGCGGCAGGAGAAGCTGGAAGACGGGGAGAATTTAAATATACTGACCTCACCGGTATGGGAGCATTCTCGGTTGCGACGATGTCGACATACAACTCTAGAAAATCTGTCCTTGACTGGTTGCAAAATTCTTCCATTGTCATCTCCAAGTCTTCATCGTCAAGCACTTTCAAACTAATGTATTTATCACCTTGCCACACCCTTGTCGTGGTCTCAATGATACATTGGTTGTCTTGAAGACTTAACTTCTGCCGAATTCTCTGATGCAGTTTGCCAATGGTTGTGTTGCGCAGGATACGTGTCGGCCTTTTTTCACCTTCGAATATGACACCTCGTCGACCTTCTACCTTCCTACCATTGTAATATAACACAACACGAACAGAATCAGGATTTGAGCTCATTTTTAAATAGAATTAGAACTAAAATTCAAATACTAAATTAAAGATAAAGGAATGTTGGTGGAGAAGAGAGATATGGAGAGTGAGAGAAGAGGTGTGAATTGAATGGAGGGGGTGGGAAAATATATAAAGCACACATGTGCCGCCAATTCTGGGCGTCAAAAGTGGCGTCACATTGTGCAGTAGATATGTAATTTTTTACAAAACAGCATTAAATGCATAATTATTTAATTTAAATACATTATTTTAATTTTTTTGCCGTGAGAAACTTGTTATTAGTGTCAGCAGGATTTTTAACTGACACGTGTAACCCAACCAATTAGAGTTGGTAAAAATAAGTCAACCCGTGGCTCGTTACTCACAAAAAATGAGTCGGGTTGGTTTGACAAAAATGAGTTGTCAACCCAACCCGATTCAGTTCGAAAAAAATGAGTTAACGGATCAGTTCGCGGGTTGAGTTTTTTTATAAAAAAAATACAAAATATAATATACAAAAATGGACAAAACCCCACACATGTTGTCATCATCTTTTTTCATTCTCTAATCCTGAGTCCATAATCTTCTTACATCCCTACCATTTTTATATTGTTAGACTGTGCTAGCTCCGTTTGGTTTAAATATCTTATCCATTTCGTAGCAAGTGATTCTGATTGTTTCTTGATGTTGGTGCAAATTTGTTGTGAAGAAATTCGAAACTATAATATTTTTCTTGTATTTCTCATTTTGTAACCCTTTGTTTAAATTGCTGGAAGCCACATAGCTAGTGCATTAATACTACAGGTTCATTTAAATAAGCTGAAAACGAGCCAACTGAAGAGCAAATTTTGAGCCAACCCGCAAGTTATTTTTTCAAGTCAACCCACGAGCCATATTTTTGAGCCAACCCACGAGCCAACCTGACCCGACACATTTTTTTTGGATTGAATATAGGTTGAGCCTGGTTGAGCTGGGTTTGTCCGTTTTGTCAATTCTATGCTTTCTTTTAATGTATTAATGAGTGGTGAGGGAAAGTATACATACCACAAAAAAAAAGCTTTTAATACATTAACGCGTAATAAGTAAAGGAGTGTTCATCAACCGATTCAAATCACGGTGACCATAGAAAAATCCATAACTAAATTAACGGAAAATTGAAAAATCAAAAACCGAAAAATAATTGCACGTTTTAATTAGATTGAATTGGTTTTCAGTTTAGTTGGTGAAAACTGATCCAATGTATTATGTATTTATTAATTTTGTTATTTTATAGACTTGAAATCTTGGATATTATTTATAACAAACTATCCTATTTTAGTTTTTTATTATCTATTAATCTATTTTAACTTTTCAACAGTTTTAGTTTAAAGACTTGAATTTTCATTGGTTTGTAACTTTGAATGACTTTATTTTGATATAGCTAATGCTCCGTATGGCTGAGATTTCAAACTTTTCAAAAAATCTAAAATTGATCCAATACAAGCTGAATACAAATAAGTTATATTGGATCAAATTTAAAAAAAAATTGAATAAATGATTAAATGGTCAAACCAAATAAATTGGATCGGATGACTTTTACTTCAAAATTGATCCAATTAAGATTGTGAACAGCGAGAAAGCATGCATATGCACTTTGCAACAATTGAAACTAAAGGTAAATAGAAATTTTTTCAAAAAAGAAAAAAAAATGAAAGAATGATAATCTCTGCATATTTCATTCACACGATTTTCATCTAATAAAAGTACTCAAGCAGTTACATTTATATGGTAAACTTAAATTTATATAAATTCATACATAAATTTTTTAAAAATATACACTCTATTTTATTTATACTTTTAGTTTGTATGTACTCATTTGAGAAAAAAGAAGAAGAAAGTAACAGAACGTATATTAAAAATCATGTTTCTTTTGTTTTATTATATGGGTTTGGTGTTTGTCATTTAAAATGACATAAGTTATGTCATTTTAGGAGAGAGATAGACAAAAAAATAGAAATCATGGGAGAGGGAAAGTGAGTGTTTTTTTAATTTAAAATTCAAATTTTCTGTGTCTGTATCTCTTTTAAAATGACATAATTTTCTGTCATTTAAAATGACAAACATTTTTCCCTTATTATATATATAGAAAACAAATGGTATACTTTTTTTTTTTCAAATAAAGTGGTGTGAAAATAACATGACCCTATAATTTGATTATTTTTATATTTTTTATGGTACTTCCGCTATGATTAAATTATAGAAAAAATACCATATAGTTTTATGTATGGATAAAATCGTGGGAATAAAATGTGCAGAGATTATCTAACTTGAGTTTTAATTGTTGCAGAATGCATATGAATGCTCTTACTCATAGCTTGCTAATGCATTAGCCCTTTTTTTTTATATGGAAAAGTGCATATGTTTGCTCTCCTCCTCACCACTTATTATACGTGTCAAACAAAAATTCGTTACCACTACAACAAGTCTTGTGGCTCAAAATTCGTGTCGCATGGCATTTAAAACATGCTGCTAGCAAGTTTGTCACCATGGTATTTTAGAAAGAAAAAAATTAACACCGGCGACATACTGGAAATTAATTTTTAAAACCGTGGCATAATGGTCGATATCCCTCAACCTCCGAACTTTTCATCAACTGAATCTTAATTTACAAATCTTTGCCAGATGATTGCTTTTTTTTTTTTCTAAGTTCAATGTTTTTACGCAAATGTAAAAGCAAAATAACCAAATTAACAAAACGGATTTGTTTTTTTTTTTTGGAACATTCAATATCAGTAAAGTCGTACATTCAAATGTCTACCAAAAAAAAAAAAAAATCGTACATTCAAATATTCAATTTATACTTTTTGCCTTCGTCTTTAAAAAGAACAAAATTTGAAATTTGTATTAAATGTTTGACTAATTTGAAGAAAAAAATAATAATGGGTCAAATTCTACGGCCGATAATGTACTTTCAAAAAGGTCTACTTTGTACAACAGACAATTGAACGATAAAAATAAGTGAAGTTTTAAAAGGCTTGTTGACTGTTGTTCTTGATGCAAAATAAAAAGAGATCATATCCTATATATAAATTATGTAGACATAAAAATAGTGTGCATACATAAGATTGTTTTATTCTTTTTTGATTATTTTCCAAATTAGCTATTTGGCCAACATAAGTAAGTGATTTATTGTTATTGTTTACTCTTGGAATGTTAGATGATATTAGAGGAAAGAATAGAGCATCTGTAAAGTAAGAGAATAGAAGGTAGCTACATTTTCTTCGTGACTATTCTTCAATACAGAAAAAAAGAAAAGAATAAAAAACACTAATTGAGAGTAATTTATTCTCATAATCTTATCCTGTAATCGATTATTCGTCAATCAAAGGCAGTGAAAAATGAATAGTACGGATCTGAAAATTTTCAAGTTTTGGAGAAGAAGTTTTGGTGTATTCCCATTTATCGGCTTTTTCACATTTTTACCCCTTATTAATTAATTAATAACCATTTTACCTTTGATTCGAAATTATTTATCAATCTGCCCCTCTTTAGTCGACTACCTTGCATTTTTAATCGACTAAATGACCAAAACAGACAAAAAATGACTGCTGGGAGATTTAGTCGACTAAATCTCCCTATTTAATCGACTAAATCTTCATATTTTACAAAAAAAAAAATAAGTCAGTATGATTTTAATCGATTAAGTAGAGAGATTTAGTCGATTAAATCTCCCAACAACCGTTTAGTCGATTAAAAATGCAAGGTAGTCGATTAAAGAGGGGCAGATTGGTAGATAGTTTCGAATCAGGGACAAAATGATTATTAATTAATTAATAAGGGGCAAAAGGGTGAAAAAGCCCTCATTTATCTTATAGACCTATCTAATCTCATGTTATGTAAGAAAAAGAAATTTTGTTATAAATATATAATCATGAGGCCTATCACCTAAAAAGATAAAGAAAAAAAATTATATGATTATAGAAAAAAATGTATGAAGAAACACTTAGGGGATTTTTGGTTAAAGAAAATTTTTTTGAATACTAGAGAAATGTAATTACTAGGAAAATAGTTGTTTAGTAGAAAAATATAAAAAAAAAGTTATTTGGTTGGAAAAAAAATTTATCGGGAAAATTTGGTAACTTGAGGGTATTTTGGTCTGGGTCAACTTTCAACTTTTGTCATTTACCCATCTAACTAAGGAAAACCACATGGAAGAAAGCTTTTTAAACAGTAATAATTGCTCTATTTCAAAGGCCAAATCTGAATAGCTAATGCAATATGAATAGATAGAAAAATTTTAAGAAACTCTCTGCAAAACAAGAAAATCAACAATTGCCAGCTTGATTTGGAGGAAAAAATTTTAAGAAATCCCCCACCAAAAAGCACCTTATGTTATATGACATGATAATAGTTTTTGAGTTATCTTA